GAAAGTAATTTGCCCTTTTCTTCTTGACTTCCTACTCAGAATCACTAACCTTTGTGTGACAAGCAAAATCCCCTGTAGGACTGTCACTGGCCTTCGGGATTTTTCTGTCTTCTGCATGTCAAAGCAAACAACAACGTCGTCTGTAATCTGTCCTTTGGGCACAACAGGACGAGCCAATGAATCTGGTTGTTGTTATGCTGACTAACATGAACTGAAAAATAAAACTAGTAATAAGAGAAGGACTCACTATTAGATCTGATTTAAAATTGGATGAGCAAAACTTATTAATAACGTGGTTCTCATTAGAAGTTTATCCCAGGCTTTGCCATTTCGCACCCTCTCCATACTTCGGTTCCTAAATCAGCTGAATGTTATATTATAGTTCAGGATGCATAATTTTACTGCGCAGCATTCGAACTCATTACTGCAATGGATGTTATGAAGATACAGTTACTTTAACTCAGCTGAACAAAAATGAAAAGAAATATTATTGTAAATGACATTTTCAGAGGAGGATTGAAGCTTTGGGTAAACTGCTAGTGCAGGCAAAGTATTTTGCTTTTCTAAGAAATGCATTCAACAGCTTCTCCCATTTCACTCTACTCATACTTTACCTTTGTAATCTGTGTAAACTTTAAACTAATTTTGCAACTAATTATTCATATTCATTATCAAACACAGCCAAAAATGTTTTCTATTTTTAATAAGTACTACATTGAAGTTGGTAAAGTATGTTGGGTACAGTATGTAATAACACCAGCAATCTCCTCCCATCCCATTAAGGATATGATTTAAAAACAAAACAAAACCCTCATGCTTATTGGTAACACTGATCAAAGCTGTGCATTTTTCAAGTAGCATGTACGATTTACAGAATCGTAGCATTTACAGCAATTTAACAGAAGTTATGTTTGTTTAAAACAAATTTGACCTGTTACTGTTGGTGTCAGATTAATTTGTCCTTCCTGATTGCTGAAGATATGTTGTTAATCAAGGGAATCATATTTTATAGAAGATGCATAATTAAAATTTTCAAACACAAAGTATTAATTTAAAAACCAATTTCACTTTGCAGTGTACCAGCACTAGGATTTGCTAACATAAAATACCCGCGGTTCCTGTTCCTGATGCCTTGTTTAAAATCTTTGCTCAGTTCACAGAGGAAGGATAGAAATGCTTCTGATGGACTACAGTGCTTTTATTTCTGATCTTTGCATAAATAAAGAGGAACTGATTCTTAAGAATTTTTTAAATGGGTTTCCCATTTCAGTCTTAACAGCTTTGAAAATAAAAGAAAATATTTGCAATTTCTATGAAGAGTTGGTTTCCTAGAAAGTTGGAGGAAATCTATGTGTTCAAAAAAAACCCCTCAAACAAACTAAAAAATTCTCTAGATTTAATCACAGAAAATATTTTCCTTTCATTATTTTTCCCAAATGTTTAAAGTCCTTATGGATTAAGTAGGACTGTGTTACTAGTTATTTAATGTATAGGAATGAACTCCTTTTAGTCTAGAGAAAATGGAAAAGTGTCTTTTGGTTATTTGCTTCTAGAGGCGAGAATATAAAAAGTCCTCTCTTCAGGATCAGTTCTGCACTCAAACTCTGTTATGTTTGTTCAGCAGCACAGTCACAGTTTTTGCAGCTTTCTGTTTATATTGTGAAATTTTTTTTCATTCCCTTTATCTGTCCTGTTTCTTACAAGTTTTATAGCAGCAGCCTTTGGTGTTAGGACCAATTGTTCCAGTAAATATTTGGATGCTATGAAGTTATTACACGCCTCTTGTTTTTGTGCTGCTTTTTTTTTAATCTATGACTTGCGAAAGGTACCAGCGTGGTCCTGCTGACTCCAGAGCAGGGAAGGCACGGCACAGGTACGCTGCTGCTCAAGAGAGGGCTTGCTTCTTTTATGTCACCTAAAAATATTACTGTAATCCCTAGCAGAGTAACCACTTTCTGATTAGTCAGTGGTTGTTGTTGAGGTTGTAATCTGAATTGCAGTAAAAGGAACTATGCTGATGGTGCACGAAAGGGAGTAATTACGGAGTTGCAAAACCTTGAAAAGCAGAGGGGTTTGAGCTGCATGTGCACTGCTTCCAAGCCAAACATACTTGGTGTGATACTGTCTGGAGTAGATGTGCTTATCCAAGCTGAGGCACTTGGCCATTTTCTGCTTTTAACATGGTCATCTCTTGGTCTTTATAGTTCTTCCCCCTCATATTTTTTTTTTTCCCCCTTCTTGTTTCTCTGACTGCTCTTCAAAATCCTGGTATCTTACTTAATGAACCATTTTGCTCCCTACTCTCAAGAACCTTTCTAAGCTGTTTTGTCATCTTCCTCTTCCATTCCCACCCCTTCCCTTTACTTTCTGTCTCCGAAGTGCTCTCAAACTTGAGCATTGCTTTAACCACCATCTTTGGGGGAGAGGAGGAAGAAAAAGAAATTATTAAACAAGCAGCTCCCTTTCATCTCATCTTGTCAGTCTTTGTGCCATTTTTGTGAGTATTGAGACGTCTTGCACTGTGCTCTTGATGCTTCTTCACAAACCTGCCCTGCACAGACACTCTCGCTTGCCTTGGGCAGCACCATCGTTCTCCCCGGCACTTGCACACGTAGCTTAGGTTTTGGCTTTGACAAGACCTTTTTATTGGAACAATTATTTCAAGCTACCTTTAAATCTTTCTGTCACGTCTCAAATGTAGTGCTGAATCTCACCACCCACAGTGTTGAAAAAAAATCTCGCATAACTCCTCTTATCTGATTCTTTGGTTGCCTCAACTTCTTATCTTCTGGCCTGGACTGCCGCTGCTTTTTTCCTTTGTTCATTCCTACTCTGCTAAGAATGCTGCTTGGCTCATTTTTCTGACCCTGTTGACCCTTTTAAAGTAATTTCACAGGCTTCCTTTCCCTTCCGTGCCTTATCTGGGATTCTGGTCTCTATTTAACACCTGTCTAGCAAACCTAGATTATCAGGTAAAACTTTCAACCTTTTTCCTTAGCTCTGTAATGTAACCAGTAGGTTTTATCCAGGAATAACATGATGCTTTCTTCCTTTCTATCCATTGCATGTAGGGGAGAGAATCCAGGTAAATCCAAGTGGCTCCTTTCATACTCTCTTGGATTTGTCATACACATGTCAATTATTTAGCTCTTTCTGTGAAACGTAAGGCTTTTCCTAGCATCATGAGAAGACAGGTGATGAGCTAAGACTGTTTTCCCTTCCTTTCTCTAACATTCATACTTTTGCTTCAATTGAATTAAAAAAAAAAAAAAAGGCAAGATGCAATCTGTCCTGGTTTAGTGTGTTCTTTCTTCATCTTGATAAATCTTCATGAGGCAACCAAATAATCACCCCCCTTTCTTGAAAAGCTACAGGTGAAATATGTGAATAAGAAGACTTTGTCAAAGAGAGCAAGCTTTTTTTATTCTTGGAACAATTTTTTTGCAGTATTGGAATACCTCTAATTGGAGGCAGTTAGAGGAGCTAATCACACCAAAATATTTGTGATTTAAATTAATGAATATTAGGCATCCACTGTTAACAGCTTATTTGAGAGATTTGTTGCATACATCTTCCCCACAAAATATTATTTGTCAAAGAGAGCAAGCTTTTTTTATTCTTGGAACAATTTTTTTGCAGTATTGGAATACCTCTAATTGGAGGCAGTTAGAGGAGCTAATCACACCAAAATATTTGTGATTTAAATTAATGCATATTAGGCATCCACTGTTAACAGCTTATTTGAGAGATTTGTTGCATACATCTTCCCCACAAAATATTATTCAAATAATAAAAAATTAAAGTCATGTTTCTGCAGATTTACAGCAAGTAAAAATAATTGACATCCAAAATTTCTAACTTACATATGTGCAGTTTTCTCCCTTATTTAGACACCAGTTAAGAGGAGCTGTTCTGCAGATCGTCTCTAGTACATACCCCTAGGATCAGACTGAATTACTTGCTATAAAATTCCCATCAAAAGAAACTAAAAGGAGTAATCTGTACTAAAAATCTTGTAGAGAGCAATTGGGATGGAAAGCAAATGCAAAAACTTGAACTAAGCTTGAGTTCTTAGCATGAGAAGTGTTGTGTCTTCCAGTTTAACTTTGTACCCTAGCAAGCAATTAGATGCTCAAGAGCTTTTGTTTAATTTTTTGGATTAGCATCTGTGTTTGAGGATGTGGGAGGTGCTCTGAAAAGACTGTCGTCTGAGCATCTGTACAGCATAGCACTGATTTTCATTGGTTTGGGTGAGAAATTGGACTGTATGTGCAAGTGCAAAAGAATGTTTGAACCACATGTAAATCCTTTAAGAGCTACGTTTCTTGACAAAACTGCCTGTTATTTAGAAATACCGGAGTTCTCTGCTAAAATGTTTACAGTAGTGGTGTTTAAATGTATAATTGACACTCAATAGTAAAGGTGGCTGTCCGTATTTGTTCCTTTATTTACAGGAAGGGTTGAAAACCTAAATGCAGTATGAATTTAGTGTGTTGAGTGTGATGTGGGTGTGTATGTAATATCTAAGGGCAGGCAGACATTTTACATTTTTTTATTGGATGCTCTTTCTTTGTGTTTCTCTGAAGAATGAGAATTGAGTCAAAATAAATGGTAAGAGTCTGCTAGATAGTCTTCTGCGTTTTTTCCAAATTTGCTTTTTAGCTTTTTCACATAGATTAGTGTATTTGCTATCCTTACTTATTGCCTGCTTACTATTTTTACTAGTGCACTAAGGGATACAAAACACTTTTGTTGCTCTGTTCTAAAATAGAATTGTTCCATTATTTTAATTGAGAGTTTTGCCAGATTAAAAAAAAAAACCTAAATATGAGCATCGCGCTTTATTGTAGTGAGGAAAATTACTGTGTTATGTTAGAGAATGTACTCTAAATTTTAGCAGAAAGCAGTGTTGTAACTGGCAATGTAAAATAATACTTAATAGAGGGCTTTTGCAGTGCTTGATCAGTGGACTCATTTTTAACCTTATTGGATCCTTTCAGATCTCAGCCACAGTGGATTGGGAGACCATTATGAGAATTCCCACTGGGGACAGCAGCCCGCTTTCAGGAGTGAAGGCAACTGCAGCTGGGATAAAGTGATAATAGACAGGACTGACAAGGAAGCGTGGCCTTCCATTACCGGAGCTGAGACTGAGTCTGCCTCAGAATGTACTACAGACACTGACTCTGCCTCCAACTGTGGCTCAGAGAACAGTAGCATGGCTACAGGGAGTGCCCAAGGCAACTTCACTGGACATACAAAGAAAACTAATGGCAATAATGGCGCCAACGGAGCACTCGTCCAAAGCACTTCTAACCAGAGTGCCCTTGGAGCTGGTGGAGCAAACGGTAACGGCAACTCGGCCAGGGTGTGGGGTGTGGCTGCGGGCTCCAGCTCTGGCCTAGCTCACTGCTCTGCCAGTGGTGGGGATGGAAAGATGGACAACGTGATGGGAGATGGTAGAAGTCAGAACTGCTGGGGTGCTTCCAACTCGAATGCTGGCATTAATCTTAACCTTAACCCTAATGCCAATCCAGCTGCCTGGCCTGTACTTGGACATGAAGGAACTGTGGGAGCAGGCAACCCTTCCAGTATTTGCAGTCCAGTCAGTGCCATAGGTCAGAACATGGGCAACCAGAATGGGAACCCAACAGGCACCTTAGGTGCTTGGGGAAACTTGCTGCCTCAAGAGAGCACAGAACCACAAACGTCCACTTCTCAGAATGTGTCTTTCAGCGTACAACCTCAGAACCTTAACACTGATGGACCAAATAACACTAACCCCATGAACTCTTCACCAAACCCTATCAATGCAATGCAGACAAATGGACTGCCGAACTGGGGAATGGCTGTTGGTATGGGGGCCATCATCCCGCCCCACCTGCAAGGCCTTCCTGGTGCTAACGGAACATCAGTTTCTCAAGTCAGCGGGGGCAGTGGTGAAGGAATGGGCAGTTCAGTGTGGGGGATGTCCCCAGGTAATCCTGCCACAGGAAACAGCAATTCTGGGTTCAGTCAGGGGAATGGAGACACTGTGAACTCAGCATTAAGTGCTAAACAAAATGGATCCAGCAGTGCTGTGCAAAAGGAAGGAAACGGAGCGAGCGCGTGGGATTCGGGGCCTCCTTCTGGTCCTGGGGTACTAGCGTGGGGCAGGGGCAGTGGCAACAGTGGTGTTGGTAGTATGCATTCTGGAGCTTGGGGCCACCCCAACCGTAACACCAGTAACGGTGTGAACGGTGAATGGGGCAAGCCCCCAAACCAGCATTCCAATAGCGACATCAACGGGAAAGGATCAACAGGGTGGGATAGCTCTAGTGTTACCAGTCCGAATCCTGCCATGCAGCAGGGCAATGAACAAATAAACTCTTGGGCCAAAGCTGCAGCATCTGGCACCACAGCTAGCGAAGGAAGTAACGACAGCGGTGGCAGTCAAAACGAAGGCAGTACTGGGAGGGAGGGGGCTGGAGAGGGCAGGAGGAGAGACAAAGGGATGATAGACCAAGGGCAAGTTCAGTTGCCAAGAAATGACCTTGACCCCAGGGTCCTGTCCAATACGGGGTGGGGACAGACCCCTGTAAAGCAAAACACTGCCTGGGAATTTGAAGAGTCCCCAAGGTCTGAACGAAAGAATGACAATGGAACAGAGGCCTGGGGTTGTGCAGCTACTCAATCTTCAAACTCAGGGGGGAAGAACGATGGGTCCATCATGAACAGTACAAATACCTCTTCAGTATCTGGGTGGGTCAACTCTCCACCGGCAGCTGTTCCAACAAATACAGGTTGGGGAGACAATAACAACAAAGCACCAAATGGCCCAGGGGGATGGGGAGAGTCAGCAAGCTCTACTACTGTTAATAATGCTGCTGCTGCCAAAAGCGGCCACGCTTGGAGTGGGACCGCAAATCAGGAGGACAAATCGCCTACCTGGGGTGAACCTCAGAAACCCAAATCTCAAAACTGGGGAGATGGACAGAAATCAAATCCAAGCTGGACTTCAGGAGGTGGAGATTGGACAGATTCATCATCTGTTCCTGGACACTTGGGTGATGGGAAGAAGAATGGATCTGGATGGGATTCTGACAATAGATCAGGGTCTGGTTGGAATGATTCCACAAGGTCTGGGACCAGTGGTTGGGGAAATGGCACAAACAGCAAGGCTAATACAGGTACAAGTTGGGGGGAATCTTTAAAGCCAGGCCCCCAACAAAACTGGGCTAATAAACCCCAGGACAACAATGTGAGTAACTGGGGAGGAGCTGCTTCTGTAAAACAGACGGGGTCAGGGTGGGTTGGTGGGCCAGTGCCAGCCAAACAAAAAGAGAACTGTGAGGCAACTGGCTGGGAAGAGCCATCTCCACCGTCCATTCGCCGCAAGATGGAAATCGATGATGGTACCTCAGCTTGGGGCGACCCAAATTACAACAACAACAAGACTGTAAACATGTGGGATAGAAATAATCCTATCATTCAGAGCAGTACCACAACCAATACCACCACCACTAGCACCATTATCAACACAAATATGGTTGAACCTCAGCCATCGCACCAGTCAAGTGCCCAGCCGAACCGGTCCCCGCTGCTTGGTCCAGGTATGAAAATAGTTTTATAAGATACTTTATACCAGTACCGATTACTGAACGCTGTCTGGCCTGATCAGTGTGCAGTTACACATTAAAGATAGAAACCCTGTATTTATGTCATAGAATAAGTTTATTCATTTACTCTGAAGCAGTAACTTCTCGTCCTGAGGACAGAACCCATGGAACCTGAGACACAAGCTTCCATAGTCCAAGTGAATGTAAGAAAGGCTTGAAACAATATCTGGTCAATAATACGCTAGGTCCTTAGATTGTTGATCCATATTTATTTTGTCAGCTCTTCCACAGTTACGTAGCACCTTCTTTTAATTCAACCATTTGAGAGTTTGGGGTCCTTTTGCTAACCTTTTTTCTCTGACTTGTCTTCTGTGACCATTGCTCAGTCTTTGTCTTGTTTAGACAATATGCATCTGTTTAGTTTCTGCAAACCGTACCTCTTGGCAACAGATGTTTTTTTAACGGTTGCATGAATCTAGGCTGTTGCTGTTTCTCTGTCTTCTGTTTGTTGTCTTTTATGAAGAAACGGTTCTCTTCCATACTTCAGGTCTCAAGCACGGGTAGTGTCCTGGACTTTTATGTGATTCTCGTAAAGCTGAATTGGTTAAAGATGTTAATATTCAGGGTGGCTGGGAAAAGTGATTTTAACTTCAGCTGTGTTCCAAAGACAAGTTTTTAGGCATCTAGGAAAAGACAAGGTACTGTTGTAGACAAGCAGCAAGGAATAAAAATGGGGAAAAAATGAGAAAAATGCTTAGGGGGAAGGTTATTTAAATGTTACTAGCAGCCCTGCTCATATTATGACCACAGACTTCTCAAAATAAATCTAATCTTGCAGTGCTCTTTGAAATTCTTCATCTGATTTTTGTCTCCAAGTTTTTGTTTCGTCTTGGTCATGGCTAAATATTGACTTTTTAACCCCTCCAAGTGGGATTTGTTCTACTTCTCTTATTTCCATCATTTTTCTCTTTGATGTTTTGAAATAATTCAAACTTACTGTAATGTCTGTGTAAAAATAGCCTCATGTTCCCTACTCTGGTCAAATATTTTAACAGTTGAAAGTATCTATTTTAAGAAAATAACGTGCTCCAGAAGGAGAAATCTTTAAATAGGTTTGTACTTGGTCAGTCCAATATACGTGATCTATAATTTGTTAACCTTAAACTTATTTCATCCACCTTTAAAACTTTACCCATGAAACTGACAATTCAAATTTCTGAATTGTAGTGGAGATACCGTGAAAGTGGGTTTTTGGTTGGGTTTGGGGTGGGGTTTTGGGTGGAGTTTTGGGGTTGTTTTTTTTTGTTAAGCTGATTTTTGGAAGATTACATCGGTGCTTGTAAAACTGTTCACATACAGCAATGTATGGTTAATGCTATTCAAATAATCTAACACCTTGCAGAGGAAAACTTACTGTTCCGAGTCCTTCAGATTTTGAAAATGGAATTTAAAAACTGGTGTTAATCTACAGTGATTCCTCTAGAGAATAGACGGTAGCAAAGGAGGGGTTTCTTTGATGTAGTATGTTTATGCAGACAGAGAACTGCTTATTAATTTGTAACCATCCACTCAAACTACCACATGAATAGGTTAAAATGACAGTATTGTGTGTCTTGCAAAAATGTTCATTAGAAAGGTTCTAAGATACTAAAGCAAAACCAACTCTCTGAATATACTTAAGGCAGCACGCAAGAAAGAGGATAAACTGAGTAATAGTGAAGACAATTTAAAATACGGTTCTGATTTTAAAATTTACATCAAGTTGTTGAGGGCATAAGTTAGGCCTTTTGTTGTGTATTTTTGCTTACGTATGGTTACAGTTGTGTACATAGGTACAGATACAAAGGCCATACATGGAAATATTTTGAAGGATTATTGTCTAATCTGCAAATGGAAGCTAGGAGCAGTCCCGTGTGACTTTGTGTTATGCCCGTCTTTACCTTTGACTGTGCCCGAGAGGGGCTAGTCTTGTGCTTATCTTACACAGAGAGTGCAAAAAATGTAGTTTAAAATGACCCTATTTGCTTCCTCATTCAATGTGCAGGAAACCTATTTTTAACACCGCGTATAGCACATAGCAGCTGTAGAGCAATATCCTGTTGGTCTTTGTGGAAATGTACACAGACTTAAAACATCTACAAATCATGTCCCATCTGGGACAGCTAAAAGATGAGAAGCAAGTAATGCGCGGCTTTCCTACGACACAGACATGGGCTTGCAGTTTGTTGTCGTGCTGTTTAACCTTATTTTTTCCTACTCCAATTCCCTGTCCCGTTGGCTGTGCATTTCCAACCTCTGCAGAAAGGGAGACAAGAATCCTGGAGCCAGGAGACTTCTGTAATCCACAACCAAATTGCATCCAACGACAGTTCTTTCCCATGTACAGTATTTCCATGCAAAACGTGATTGTGTAATTAAGGGCTGTGCCATAGGGCACAGGTTAAGTGCTCATCTAAAATCTTACAACACTTGAACTAAGTAGTTACCATTGGCATTTTGTCTTCTGCATGGGTCAAGACATGCTTTGCCAATCATTTTTATGATTCGCTACTATTCAGGGAATATCATGAATAAGAAATCATGGATTCTGTTCCTGTATAAGTAGGGAAGCATGGCGTAGCTGTAAGATGGCACAGTCATGCATCCTGAAAGCAAAGAAGTGGGTTTTAATTTCGCTGTACAGCACTAGTTAGCTGTTCACAAAGGAGTGGAAGTCCCTTTTGGGTTTTAAGTTTATACTATATTAGTTTAGAAATGGAGGCCAAGTTACAGTCTTGTTATTCAATTTGTCACCCATCCCCAGAAGTTCTCAAAATTCTTTGAATACAAAACTTAAAAGCTATTGATGGGAAGCAGATGTTGGTACACACTTGATGACAATGCATAATGCTCTAAGGAGTTTCTTTTTCTGTCGGAAACAAAAAAAGGGGATAGATAATGTGATAAATGTAGTCCTTTCTGGTTATAGCGGCTTGCTCCCAAACCACTGCTGAGTTATTTAGAAAGACGAGCAGAAAGCTAGTGGTTTTGATTTAGATTCAATTTTGATCTAAATTACTTGTGCATAATTCTTACTAGCTCTTTTAACTCTTGTAACTTTGATACAAGGGGAATAAGAAGTGAGAAGAGGTTTTGCAAACAGGAATGATTAAAAGATTTTTGGATCCCAAACGGCACCAGATCCTTCCTCCAAATGCTGAGGAGTGGGCTTGATGTTCCCTCTTCCCACTAATAGGTAGAGCCTGGCAGGGTTCCAGCCGCCCGTCCTCCGGCTGAGTAAAGAAACGACAAAAGATGATGTAGGCTTCCCTATGGAGATTTTAGGTCAAAAATTAAGGTCTTTGTGGTTCCTAGAGAGCAAGGAGCTTAAGTTTTTTAAAAACTGAACCAGGTCTAAATTCTGAAAGTTCTGAAGATCTCTTTGTTCCTTTAATAATCCTGTGCCATTGTCTCAGTGGCAACTTACATGTCATTCATAGCGTCTAATTTATGTGAAACAGGGAATGCAAGTGATGTGTTTTCCTTACTTTGAACTTTCATCAGAATGGATTTGAAACCAGATCAACTTTGAGCTCCTTTAGGATGCTCATGTAAAAACCAAAAATCCCGTTGTGGGTGCTCAGCCCTCTAACAGCCAAGTTCTGAGGGACAGCCAGGCGATACTGAGATTTTCACACAAGGTTGATCTCATTGCTGAAAGCCAAATAAGAGCTTCCCTAATGCTGAGTGAGATACGAAGGCGTGGAGCTCCACTGCATGAACTGGAGTATCTTTGAGAAAACGAAGACTTGAAAGGTTAAGGGTTACAAGTGACCCTTAAATATATATATAACCCTCCCTTTTACACACACACACACCCCCTTATAGCTTATTTCTTTTCTATTATTAGTGGACTAACTGGTGACAATTTAGTAAACAATCTCTTTTGTACCTAATTTCTTCCTTTTTCATCTTACAGAAGGTTCTAATATTTTGGTTTGCCTGTGTTGTAGTCATATGCTCTGGTATTTATCATGGACCAAACAACTTCAAGGAAAACAATTTCTGCCATCCAAATGGCTATAGGGTTATTTTGAGGGAAAACAACTGCATCCTGCCACAGCTTAGTTAACATTTCACTTTCCCTTGAGGATTTCCTGTTGGCTGTGGCCCAGTGTTAATTATGTTTTTATTTCCATAAAACAAAGCTCTGCCAATGTGTCCATGTTTATTACTCACTGTGATCTTTTTGTTTCTTGCAATTTTAAGAGTGTTTAAAAACTTCAGTATTGAAACCTCACTTTCTTGCCAAAGAACCCTTTAACGGAGCTCATTCTGTTGCAAAACAACATTCATGCAGATCTTTTGAAGGCATGGAGCTTTTTCTCAGGAAAGCCTGAATGCATATTATTTTCATAAAGAAAATAGTAAGTTTTCTCTGAGCAGAAATTTTGAAAACGTTAGGCAGGTTCAGATTTTGAGACCACTGTGAAGGTGTTTTCCTTCCAAACAGCTGTGTAAAGGAACTTAAAAGTAGCTTCTTGCGTTCATTCAACCCACTGTAATGCTGTTTGTGAGCTGCCTTTATTGTGAGGTATATGATACAGTACTGGAAAGCATCACGCTGCCAGAGGCAAGCTGTTGGGACTACAAACTGTTTGAACCAATATTCCACCTGTGTCTGTTTCAAATATGAAGCATACTGGGTTATTTTAAAAATTGAGGGAAAACCTTGTTTAAAAAGAAGAGTCCTTTGGAGAATACAAAGTAAATTTCTTCTTTCACGTGTGGAATTTTGCATCATTCATTCAAAAATGTAACTATTCACCTTTTTAAGTTTCTAACATGGAGTCATAAAAAGGTAGCACAGAGGTAGTAACATTAAGACAGCAGGTACTTAATGCAGAGGGGGAAACAGGCTCATAATTGAGAAGTACTCTGGAATTTACATACGGGTTAATTTTTGCGGTGCACAAGTTATTTCTCCAGCAGCCTTCAGGTTTTATTTACTAATTTCCTGCACTTAATTTGCTCTGTTAAGATAGTTTTGAAAACTTTTAGTTGATGCATTTTGTTTGCTTTTAGGTACTTGCAAGTATTCTCTTTTAGTAAAGGCTGGCTCCCTCATTATTTGTAATCCCGTATTACTTACTGCTCAGCGCATTTAAAGCACTTAACTCAAAATAACTTGGACATTACACATCCGTGGTCTTTTATCGATGCTGTTGAATTTATAGTGAAGAGCAACAGAAGGACCAGTTCTTTTGAATTTTTATTCTATAACCCAGCACACTTTGCCTTTTCAATATATGAATTGTGTTTTAAGGTTGATTTCATAAATTGAATTAGTTTCCATTAGTTCCATGAACTCAGGGAAGTATTAGTGTTCTGCACTCTCTCTATTTGTATTCTAATTGGTGCCTTAGAGATGTTGTGTTTTCTGTTTCATTTGCCTGCAGTTAATCTTTTTCAGATGCCAATATGATTAAATACATGCAGTTGTCTGACAAGGTTGCCTCCTGAGTAGTAAGGCAGAAATTCAAATAAAACGTTCCTTAATTAAAGTTGGCTTAAAGATACAAGCAGAAAGCTTGAATAAGTATTTTAGGTGCAACGCCAAGGAAGTTGTCATGTTAAGTAGTGGTTCATTTCTATACATACATGTGTGTGTCTGCGAGTTTGTCTTCTGTACACACTTTAAAATAACCAGAAATTTAAGATACGTTGACAGAGCTTAGAATACAGTATTTTTGTTTCAAATGTAAATCAATTTAATGAAAGCGAAGTTTTGGGTTGTTTCAGGCATATGTTTTAAAACACAATGAATCTTGCTGGTGGTGAAGGAGCTTTATTAAGCTACGTGTCCTGAACATGTAGGCTTAGTTTGGATATGTTTTATGTCATAGACACTTTTATAAGTATCTGAGAGAACTGCAGTTGCTTTAAGAAATAGAGCCTAAAATAAATATGTAATACGGGAACACTGGAGTGGTGGACAGATATGAGCCCATCTGTTTGAAAGGAGATTTTTTCACTGCTAGCCAGTGTTTGAGTTACTGTTGGTGGTGTATGTTGCCTGCAGTTTCTAGTAACAGAAATTCTGTTGAAATCAGTAAGTTCTACAAAGACATCTAGCTAGACTTGTTGCTCAGTGTAACACTATTGCCTAGTTAGTTTAATTTATTTCAAATAAAGTTCTTTTGTGGTGACTTCCTTGCCATTTTCTTCCTACTCTAGGTGTCAGTTTGCAGAAAATGTTATGTTTCTGCTCTTTGAAACCTTTCCAGAGTATTTTTGCAGATAGCACTGGGGAGCAAAAAAGGAATAGTGCTGCAGCAAAGTCGGCATCTAGTCCTTAAATAATGAAAATCTGTTAAAAACAGTAATGATACACTTTTTGGGGAAGTAGCGAAACCAAGTTTCTCTCTTACTAGATCTGTTTGCATGTTGTGAGCTGCTGGAAGTTACAGATTTGGCAGGGCAACAGTTGATCAGAATAAAATACCCGTACTTAATAATATTACTCTCCAATGAAAAGAGGGCAAGTTCTTGAATTAGCAGCCTAATTAACAGTGGAAGTTTCAAGTGCACTGGATTCTGCAATACTTTTTGAGATCTCGGTTGTCATGTGATGTAATGCTTTTTGTGATAATTGTAGAAAAACAGGTTAATACCAGGTATATGTTAAAACTCTGTTTTCTTGCCTGTTATGCGTCTGGCTTTTTTGTATATTTTTAAAAAGTACCTTGAACTCCACCTGTGATCCAAATGTGTCTCTTCAGAAAAAACTTTTTTTTTAAGAGGTAGTGGTCATTTTAAATTCAATCAGTGCTTTTGCTGTGTTTGTCAGTGTTGCTCTTTAGGACTTAGAAGCTATGTGGTTGTTCCTAGCGCATTTGACTTCAGTGCTGAAATTGGTGTCATATGATTTTAAGCGCATTACATTCAAGCCAAGCCAGACTAAGTTTCTTTATAGTAGCTTACGTTTTTCAGTGAGTTAAAATAATACTCTGTAGGAAAACAGTGACTTCTACCTGCCATTCCTCGTGTTTTGACTGTAGATTCTAATTGCAGTCTTGTCTAGTTCTCTTTAAAAATCATATTTTATAATGTAGAGGCTCAGTGATGAAGGGATACGTAGGGAACAGTCAACCGTGTTTGACTTCAGTGCTGAAATTGGTGTCATATGATTTTAAGCGCATTACATTCAAGCCAAGCCAGACTAAGTTTCTTTATAGTAGCTTACGTTTTTCAGTGAGTTAAAATAATACTCTGTAGGAAAACAGTGACTTCTACCTGCCATTCCTCGTGTTTTGACTGTAGATTCTAATTGCAGTCTTGTCTAGTTCTCTTTAAAAATCATATTTTATAATGTAGAGGCTCAGTGATGAAGGGATACGTAGGGAACACAGTCGACCGTGAGCTGTAATAAAAGCTTTAAGGAATGCATATAACATATATAATCTACGTTGAAAGTGGTAACAAACAAATACCATCTTACTCATAGGGCTTGAGAAAAGAGATCTGATAATTTGTAAATAGTTAAAAGGAATTAAAATAGCTTAAAATCTTTCAGTGAAACAAGGCCCAGCTCAGATTTGGGTCCTGGTCTCCTGCATGCTCGCAGTGCTGCCATGTGCTCCCCGAGCCCTGGTCAGTCTGCTCTGAGAAGTCACGTTGGAAGCAACTGCTCCCTTGGGACCAGGTCTGGGGCTCACCTGGCAGCCTGACTGCTCCTGGCTGTGTTGAAAAATACTCCTTCTTTCTTGACAGCTTGGCATTAGTATTCAACTAAGAAAAAATATTCTGAGACTAAATCAAAGGGATTTTTTTTATATGCTTAATTAGAGTCACTGTGTCTACTTACTAGTTCATGCATTCTTTTTCCAGACAAAGACTTTAATACAATGTCCATCTTAGAAATTATTGGCAAAAGAAACCTTTCCTCTCATCACTGTTCTTCTCTCCTTCCCCTTGCTTCAGCAGGCTGGGGAGAAATGCCTACTGTCCACACAAAGACTGAAGCTTCTTGGGGAGAGCCGTCATCCCCTTCTGCTGCAGTTGATAATGGCACTTCAGCATGGGGGAAACCCCCCAGCAGTGGTACAGGGTGGGGAGATAATCCTGCCGAGTCGGCGGGGACATACGGAAGAACAAATGCTCCAGCTGCTGCCCCAGCACTGTGCAAACCAGGTACGTGCGTGGATGTCACTGTCGTAAGAGGTTGGAGGGGAAAAAGCAAAGTGTGTTTGCTTCTGCCAGTATTTTTAAACAGCGCTCCTTCTGATTTTCTGTGCATTTAAATCTTAATTTCTTTCTTAAAACTCCATTAGCTGTCTCAAAACGTTGATATTCCCAATACGAGATTCATACAAAAATATTAATATAGTGTATCGATCCAGTAAATTTCAGGTGTCCCTTAGAGTATTTTTGTGTACTTCAACAGCAGTATAGTATAAATTGTAGAGATGCAGGAAACTATAAAACTGCAGAAGAATGTGAATCAGTACTTATCCCTCGCTGCCTAAAAGAAACCTGTATTGGGATGAGAAGCAACTGAGCTCAGTCAAGATAGGATTGATTTTGGGAGGAAGAGAAACACTTGAGAATGACTAGTCATAACTTCTCTATTCTTTTAAACTGAGGGAGTGGATATCTTCTTCAGCTAGTAAAACTGTTCAGAGGTTCAGGAACATCCTGAACTATTTACTGCTTTGCGATTCCTAACTAATGTTATTTGATAAAAACAGTCCATCTCTAAATGCCCTGATGGCTACAGTGCTTGTTTTAGACTTCTGTTTTGGCTGTGGTAGTCTTTAAGCTTCACTCCTGCAAAATACTATACTGAGAGAGATAGAAGGCCCAGAAAACCTGAACAGAGGAGCGAGAGTTCTTAAAATGAGTAATCTCAGCTTTAAACAGAGTAAACAGAGTAAAACGGAACGAGGTGACACAACCTCATCACTTAATGTAAAGTGTTTCCTGCAGCCCACGTGCTCCTTTCAGATCCCATTCTTCTGAGATGGGAACGAGTTTCTGACCGTTCGTGACCTCGAAATTTGGTTTTGTTTGTCGGAAGAATGTGGCAGCTAAAATGGTGAGATTCATTGAAAGCAAAATAGCACTTAACAAGTGTGTGGTCATACTTTTGGTTCCTTGTTCCTAGGAGACTGGAATGACCATGACCATAGATCTTACTTGTTCAGGAAAAAGAAAGACTTGCTGTTGCTGGACTTTATTTTCTACAAAGTATTTAGAGACCTTTTCTTTTTTGCTAGCTTCAGAGACGGAGTCCTTATCTTTTAATGCCAATTAAGCTACTTGATGAACCTCTATATCTCTTGAAAATAACTCAAATGTTAGCATACTGGATATGGTATAAAAGGAAATTGAAGCTGATTTTTCTTCTCCCTCTTTCCTTTCCTCCAGCTTCAAAATCTATGCAAGAAGGCTGGGGCAGTGGTGGGGATGAAGTGAATCTCAGTACTAGTCAGTGGGAAGATGAAGAAGGAGATATGTGGAATAATACTGCTTCACAAGAGAGCAGCTCCTCCTGTAATTCCTGGGGGAATGCCCCGAAGAAAGGACTTCAAAAGGTAAGACAAAAATAAAGATGCTGTCTAGAAAAGAATGGAATTAGTATAACATTTCTAGAATAAGTTGTCACAAATTTGTTGTTGCATTATACCTGAACTCTTAAATTAGACCTCTGACACCTGAACCCAAAGACAGCTTGCCACTACCGTGGTTCAAGTACAGCCTACCTGCTTACAGGGGAAAGTGGGAGATCTTTGACTTTAAGCATGTCAGGTGCTTCGGGAGGTTTTGTTGTTGTTGCTTTTGTTTTCTCTGAGTTTTATAAGCTTCCATGTATTCTGAAGAAATGATAATGTATTAACAGAAACAGAAAAAGCGTTAAGGGGGTTTTCATACGCTTTCTGTTGTGGTAGAAAAGCGAACAGTAGTTTGTGATGTAGTGGTTCAGCAAAAAATATCTATTTCCTATTTGTGAGGAACAAACAGATAATTTTAAGGTCTGTACTGGTATGAGAACAAAGCAAATTTGTGTTAATGCCGCACTCAACCAAGAACATAGACAATTATGTTAGGAAGTTTTCCATTGCACAGTCTTTATTTCAGGACAAGGCCAGGCTGTAACTTAAAGGAATTGGGAATGCATTTAGCCAGTTTGTTTGTTATTCCATTAGCCAACAGTTAGGCCAGTGATTTGATCAAGTATGGTTGTTTCTTGTACTGTCCGCAGCCCAAAACAAATCCACGCTTGTCCCTTGGTACTTTCTGGAGAACTGAAAGGAAGAGGCTTCTTAAGGATTTTGTGATAGAAAAGCTGCACAGAGATCTTTTAAAGGTGTTTATCTAGACGCTCTTGTTTGTTTTTAAGAAAATACACTGAGTAACGTTCTTAACTTCAAGGTTGCAAACTCGTTTTTGGGAATGTTTTTCAGGAAGTGTTGTACTATTTCAGAATCTTTGATTTCATTATGTTTTTCTGCCAAGGATTAAAATGAAATACTTAAATTCAAAGGTGGCTTTAATTCAGTGGTCGACAAATCAAATACTAAATAGTACACTGAACACCTACTCAGCTGAGATAAAATTTGTACACTTTGTGGGGGAAGAGAATCGTAGTTATGTTGTTCGGAGGGTTCTTCAATACTTTCTAAATTAATGTACTAATATATCTTTCAGTAGCATGTATTATTAATAAGAAAGACTTACCATGTATTTTATGTACATCTCACTAGTATGAATATGGGAACCAGACCATTAATGGAATCTCCCATTTATTTACTAAGGGCATGAAGACATCTAGCAAGCAAGATGAGGCCTGGATCATGAACCGTCTGATAAAACAGCTCACAGACATGGGCTTCCCTGTGAGTAGTGTTCATAGTTAGCACACCAGTGGCTAAGCTTTTGTAGCTCGTAGTTCTGACTTCCGATGTTTCAGACTGTAGCTACAAAAAGGATCTTCAGTCTCTTCTTCAGGCCGGGAAGTAGTTCTGTTACCTGCATCTAGACATTTACTCTAATGTCAGAAATCTACCGTAAGCTAGTAGAGTGCTCTCTGAGATTACTTGATGATATACTTTGTGTGATGACATTTATAGATCTTTTGAAGTTCAGAGTTTTATAACAATAGGTGTTAACTTTGAACTTCAGTAATAATTCCACTCCTGTTCCCCTTTTCTTATTAAACAGGTGAAATTAGAGTATAGCTGTATTTTTAGAGAAAGGCATGTCATAGTGATACTTAAGCCTTCCATAGAAAACAGGTAGAAATTTAAATAGAACAGTACGATTTGACCTTGTAGAACTGGTACTTACTTGACAAACTGAAACTAACTGAATTGTTGTGGGAATTGGTAAAAGCAGAAAAAAATGTGCGCAGACATTACTTGTGCTGCTTAGTATATATGAAATCCAGTATTTGAGATATATGTGTTTTCTCAGCTTGCTTTGAAATCATATAAGCATGATTACTTTTTCTCTTAACATAATCCGTTTTTTTGACAGAGAGAGCCAGCGGAAGAGGCCTTGAAGAGCAACAATATGAATCTCGATCAGGCCATGAGTAAGTATTTGTGTAACTACTTTTTTTTTTTTTCTTTAAAGCAACACAGGAACCATTCATGATTCTGAGAGTTTGATCTTATCCAGATATATTTGATAATATTCATTTTCTTGCTTTTGCTTTTGTAAGCAAGACCTACTTCTCTGACCTACTGTTGGCAAATTCACTGTCTTTGCATCACCTTTTTCAATACATTTCCCCTGTCTGTGAAGGTGCTCTGCTGGAAAAGAAGGTGGAAATGGACAAGCGTGGAATGGGAGTGACCGACTATAATGGAATGGTCACCAAACCCCTTGGCTGCCGCCCACCACCAATCTCCAAAGAGTCTTCCATGGACCGCCCCACCTTCCTTGACAAGGTAAGTTCAGAAATATGAATGTGATTTACAAGTCAAAACTGTACACAGTATAGAAATACTGATGATTTCCACTGTCTGTTGAGAAAGCTGTAGAGAGAAATGTCATAGATAATTACATACTAGTTTATTCTTTTTCTTCTCTTTTAATCTTGTGGGGAATTTAGTCCTTGTGGAAAGGACCAATGATTTGATTACCACATAGAAATAAACAATGGTCATCCCCAGTGTTACACTTGAAATGAAAACCTACTAAGGAATCAGTAATGCAGTGGAACTAGAAATGGGAAAAACAAAGAAACGGAGTGCAGAAAGCCTTTCACTCTGTAAGAGTCCAGAGAGTCAGTCACCCTTGCCCAGAGTAACGATCAGGCACGACCAAGGCCAAAATCTTCAAGAATTAGGCTCCTAATTCCTGGTTTAGTTTTGAGTTCCTTATAGATTTCGGTGAAAGTTCAGTACTTAAATAGGAGTGCGGAGCTGAGGTATTTTTGTTAAGTCAAAGAGCAGACGCGCACAGTCATAAATAGCTTCCCCAATGAGCTTCCTTTTCTGTGATCACGTATGACAAATTTTCCAGCACCATTTAATGACTGAGGAGAAGGCTCCAGAAGTTCCTGGTGTCTAAGATTTGAAGTGCCTAAAGAAAAGGATGTAGGGAAAAGTGCAGTGAGATCTTCAGTAGGAAATGAGATTTACAACTTGACATGAAGTCCTACAAAGAGACCCACCAAATCATCTCAGAATCTCCCCCAAAATAAAGGAAAGAACAGTCTCTGGTGCCATTCTTTATTTCACAGGTTATTTGAAATATTCATGAAGGGGGTGGGGTGGGGTGGAGGGGTGGTTCTGAATGCAGAAATCAATAGTTTTCACAAACTGTGCTGAAACCAATTCATTTTACATAAGCTGTTTACAGGATGTGAGACAGTAATGACACCTAATCTTGTTAACACAGACTGTATTAAAAACTTTACTGACCCTGAATAACGATTATCTTCCCAGTTTCCACCCTGTGTTTTCTTATAGTCTTAACTATAGCGTTATCCCTAAAGTTACGGTTTGTGTTGTGACAGGTTCCCAGGTGTTGCACTAAGAAAATTAGCGTGGCACTATGCTAGGACATCTGATAAATACTGACCTTTAAATGACAACTATTACTATTTCTGCTGTCATCACAGTCTAAACAGTTTGCTGAGTTTTAGTGCTGGTAGGATGCAAACTGTAAACAACTTAATTTGATTAAACACAAATGCATCTTACATAATTCTGGGTTATTTATACGAATAAGGAAAAATTAGCATCCATATAAAATTTGCTTTAGAGGGTCCTTGCATACTAAAAGTTTTTCTGGTAGTTCAAATGCTGCCCCAGTGCTGCGTAATCTAGTGTCATGGCAGTTTTCTCCAAAGATTATAGATTAGAAAACTGCTTTTCTGCTTTTAGGGGGAATAATAACATTTGTTCTTTCTGGGCTCCCTACTTACATCGGAATGATGTGGTGTCCATTATGTTGTTGTTCCCTAAACCAGACTAAACTGCTTATGTATTTCCTACAATGTAAGGCTCAACCTGGCTCTTCTTCCTTCTTTTTCTCTTCCTGCCACGTAAAGTTCATTCTTAACTATGGCAAATCTATTTGTTTATGGCAAACTTTAATGAATATGTTAATTAAAAGATCTCTGTCCTGATGAAGGTCACAAAATTAATGCATGCATGCCAGTTAACCTTTTCTTTTCTAGGATAACAATATCTTGAGCAGTAAAACTTTTGCCAGAGAGGTGCCTTATGTGCATCATAATGCATAATTATGGAAACATATGTTAAACACAACTATTGAGAAGGGAGTACTAAAACCATTAATATTCATACAGCAAGTAAAATCTGCCAGTCTAGGCATAATCTGTCACAGTGACTTTCCTATAACAAAGGAAATAATCCCAAACTATATTTGTTAGCTATCAGAGTGTTGAGCAACTTGCTAAGTGAATTAAACAAATACAGTTTCTACTCTAAGAATAGATATCTTTTTCCAAAGAAATTCTTTCCAGATTCACAGCTCTAGGAGTTGCTACTAGAGCAACTCCTCTTCTCCAAAACCTTTTGGCCCTTTGAGGTACTATTTCAGAGCACGAGCCTGGAGCTGTCTCGCTTCCTGCTCCAGGTCATCCTTGGTCGGTGAACAAGCTCTCTGCACAGCTGCACGAAGCACTCCAGCCAGTGTTCCTTATTTTACTTACTGTCTTACCAAGTCATTATCCTTTTGCTTGGCTTTGCCGAGTCTTCAGTAACTTATGTGAGGTTCCTCTTCATGAAATTGTAAGCTGGGTTAGTGTGCGCATTGCTACCGCTCAGCTGATTCTCTCAGCCTCTCCGCTCACCTGAGTTGAGTCTCCATGATTTTTTTCCTGCATTTTCTCTGACAGGTAAAGCCAGCACTTCTTTTTTTTAACCTTACGCATTTGAGGAGAGAGAATATTCAGCCCTGACATTTGCTTCTGGACCCGTTAAACTCCCTGTTCTCTCTGGAGTAGTAATGGTCTGTGCAACTAAACATCACCTTTGAATGTTTGCTTTTACTTGTTCCTCAGTGCTTGCTGCAGATACTCTTTATTCTGTGTCACACTGAGTCAATCTTTGGCACTCAGTGCTTTGTTAATTGTATTATTTTCCAGGATGTTATCTTGCCCTGTAGCACCATAAAAGGAGAAGGGAGAAAATCCAGTGGCTTCGAGGAAATAAAGATCCAGCCTAGCAGTACCCTGATACGTGATCTCAACCACATTATCTTATACTTGGTGGCGAGCATGCTGTACTTAGGTATCAGGTTTGCTTGAAGATGTTACCTGATGTCTTCTGGAGTCATCAAATTTGTAAGAAAAGCATGTAAGATTTTCCTGGAAGCATCCTAAAAAATATCGGAAATAAGCCCAGAGTGCTTCAAAGGATCTTTTCTTAAAGTCTAGGGATTTGGCTTGGGTATCGCTCCTGAGTACTGGGACTCAAGTTTGGTGTGTCTTCTCACTGCACCTATCAAGGGTTCTTCTAAGCTCAGAAGAAAAACATGGTGGTTTGCTGATCTGCGCTGACCAGCCTGTAATTGAGTCTTGAACCACACAGAGACATCACTTAATTTCTTAGCACAATCAGATGCAAGTGTTGAACTCTGGACCCCATTGTATTAGATGTATGTGATGAAAAGTCAGGTACGCCCTCTGAAGAGAAGTAACATCAGCCTGCTTTGGCATTAGCTCAATCTTGCCTTCTGCGACGCTTCTATTAGTTCTGTGGCAGACTCGTTTTCCCTCCTGCTCTCCTCTATTTTTGGATTTTTTTTATGCTTTCTCCCATACTGCCAGCAGAGTCCTGTCTTCCTTCCTTTGCCCTGATGCTGCTTCCAGACTTTCTCCCAAATTCTTGAGCATATAGGAAACTGTGAAATTCTCACCTTACAAATTAAGTCTCCTTTTCACTACTGTCTTATTCATTGATCAGCTCTTCTTCTCTACTATTGAGAAATCCAGGTCTACAAGTCTTGATGCCTGTGTGCTGCAATCATGTTCTTCCAAAAATACTCTGACTAGACTTTCTCCTTGTTTCTAATTCCAGCATAGTGTTTGTTGGGTTTTTTTCCAACCTCGTCCTTCTGATCCCAGTTGTCTCTGGTGAGTGTGACTGCTTTTTGTCTTTGGGAAGATTAATGAGATATTTTATCTTTACGCAGAAACACTTGTGTAGGCCTTGCAATTAGATGATGATCACTAGAATTTTAAGGTTGACTTCTAAATTCTTCTTCTGTCCTCCATCTCTGCTTCCTGTGATCCAGTGATTGTTTCTTTTTGAACTTCCAAATTTTGAAACCTCTTCCATATTCCCATGTTTTCAAAATTAAAAATACCAATGATGAGTACTTCTTCTGAGTATTGCATTTCCTGCAAGTCTCTTTGCCTGTACCTAACTCCTGTCAGATTTGAAGAGAACTTACTTTGAGGTGAGATTTTATTACTTTAACTTCCTCTTTTGGGAAAGGTTTTTTTCTGTTTTAAGAAGTATTTTCTACTAACTACTTCTGTAACTGACTTTGTATAAAGACCTCTGGCAAATTCATCAGCCTCGCATCTGTCTGTTGGGATATTTTGATTCATGAAGTGGCAGTTGTTGGCAGGTGACTGCCAAAGTGTCCAGGAATCCTCTGCTAAGTTGTCCATATCTCACAGGGCTAAAAAATCTTTGAGTAATGCCACTTGCATTCTGTCATATTTGGTACATGAGACTATTGTGAGAGACTTTCCGAAGTCCTAAAAGTAACGTATTGTTGAGCAGCAGTGTGGTGGTTTGTGTTGGATAACTGTAGAAGGAAGTACTGCTACCGGTAGGATTTTACAGTTGTGTCAAGTCCCATCAAAAAAGTTAAATGCAGTGCTGGATTGAGCATAATTTTGACGATTCAGATGTAGAGGATTTGTTTGATTGATTAGCCTGAGGGAGAAATGTAACATAAATTTGTAAGAAAATCACTGAAGAGGAAAGGTTAGGTAGAAAAGCTTATTCTTCAGGAAACAATTATTACATAAAGAGCCTGAAAAATAATGGATCACAAACCATTGTCAGCAGTAGAGGTATCACCTAGTCTAGGTTGAGAATGTCTGAGGAGTACTTTATGTTGACCGACTAAAATACTTTATGTGAAATGAATTGATTTCAGCTCCACTTACAGAGCACAGATTTGTGCAGCACAGTTGGTACCTTACGATAAGTTCAAATTAAAAAAAATAGAACAAAATGAATGTGAACAATGTGTTATAAACTTGCTACAAAAGACATTTGCTGCAGTTCAGCCAAGGAACACACTTGTGAAGGTGGCCTTGCAGCAAGAGTCCGCCTGTTCTGGAGATTAGATGCCTGAGTCTCCAGTGTGGCTTGTCCTCCACCGTCCCTGGCACTGCCTATTTCCAAAATGAGAAAAAACAGTGTCAATGAGACAAGACTTGAGTAAATTTTGAAGGCAGGGAGGGATTGCATTGGTCTTTCATGGTCAATAGGTCTGTTCACATAGGAAACAATGGCATCTGAAGGAGAGAGCACACACGAAGCTTGACATTATTTTCCCTTTAAAGGGGGAAGGGTAGAATTGTAAACATATGTCTGTGATCTAAGGAGAAATCCTTGAACCTGTTACTGTCATGCAAGCTGCGGTTGTTTGTGGAGTGTGACTGATGTCCGGTAGAATGTAAAATATCTTGAGCTGAAAGGCCTCGGGGATATCATTAGAAAATGTCAGTGTCCCCCTCAGGATAGTCAGATAGCATGTCAAGTGTCACTTTGCCTGATAGTAAAGAAACTTTTTCTTTGCATCAAAGGAGAGCTGTTGAAAATGCATTTTTCAGGATTAACTTAGCACATAAAATCTACCGAGCGTGCTTGCTGCATTAGGTCATTTGTTTGGGTATCTGGTTAGCGGACTGGGCTGCTTTTTTAACAAAGGAGGTTTATCAGTATCTCACAATCTTCTGGGGCATTGAATTTATTGGTTGAAATAACCTAGCTCCTCACCTATTTAAAAGCCTTTCTCTGCAATGAATACATTGCTTGAAAAACACCAGTCCAGCACATTGCAAATTAAAGATTTTTCACTCTGCCTGTTTTTGGAGCTGTACTTTGTACACAGTGTTATTTGATCATGCTTGCCGCAGGCTTCCCAGACATCAAAGCACAGTTTGAGATAGAACTCGGTACCCCACTGTAATACTAGCTAGATATCTACCTGTTTGACTGGGGATTATATGCCTTGCTGTTTGCCCCCTGCGGGGGCTGCCTTCTGTGCATCGTATCCATGTTCAACCATGGTTCCTTACAGCCTGGTTATCAGAGGGGGCTCCTTATGTCTTGCTAAAATCTGCCTCCTCCTGGGGGACGTTGAGGCAGTGTCTTAATTGCTTTCCTAGGAAGGCTACACAGACAACATTATCATTATTGTTTTTAAGTATTTTTGTGTTCGTTGGGTGTGTTAGAGTGTAATGTTTCATAGTGGATAATAATAACTCAGTGCTACGTGAATATTAAAAGAGGCTCATGTGTCTCAGTTAGGAAAGGGGATTAATGCGAAAATGCTTTTTTTAAGAGCAGAGCTATGATGTAGAACCAAATACAGACTGGTGTCAGATAAGCTAATCTGGCCTTTCCCAAGTTCTGAGTTAGCAAAAGCGGTGTGTCCTATGTCTGTGCTCCGCTGCTGAGAGTTTACCAAATGAACAAAAGACTTCCCTGAAATGTGCTGGATCTCTTCCCTTCCACCTTTCAATCTGGTGGAGAAGAGAGGAGAAAATCTAAGGGGGGAGGAGGAGATGGCTGCATGATAGCTCTGCGATCGGTTGCTAGAATCTCTCCTTCTGGAGAGGTGGGTGAGGGTGGTTGTGCATTTGTGGATTAAGTGCAACAAAGTAAAGAAAAACAGTACCTTAATCCTATTTCTCTCTTTCTTCTCCCTTCACTCCATACTTTTCATTCCCTGTTATTCATACCTTTTTTTTTTTTTAAATATTTTTATTCATCCATGCCCTTTTATATTTCCATGGGACACTGTTTTGTGTGCTGTCTGCTCGTGGGCACCGCACACAGCTCACCCTTTCTTTCTCCAATCAGGATGGCGGCCTAGTGGAAGAGCCCACTACTTCACCATTTTTGCCTTCACCAAGCCTGAAGCTCCCCCTTTCAAACAGTGCACTCCCTAATCAGACCCTGGGCGGGATTGCCTCAGGGCTGGGCATGCAAAACTTGAATTCTTCTAGACAGGTAAGGCTGTTGGGGGAGATCCCAAGTTGAATTTCAGCTCTCTTGGACTCGCTGCTAGTGCCCATCACTTCCCCGGGGAAAACGGTGGTTTAAACTGAAAGTGTGTGCAACATCTTTGTTCACGTGAAATATCAGCGGAGAAACTACCTGCTGTGTAAACGTTTCACGTTATAGGACATAAAACAACTGGTTAGTTGTAATTAGCCTGCTAATTACACGCATCCATTGAGAAGAGACTGTAGTATTATGGATTTATACCACTGAACCATGGTATAGCTCTGCCTTGATTGATGCGAGGTTTCTTTTTTTTGAGGCGTTGCTAATTGTCACAGACTCCAAGGCAGAGACATTCCTCTAATTCATCTTTCCTGGCTGGCATAATTATTCAGTGATGAGATGGGTGAGAAGTGATGGGGGCTTTTTTCTTCCTGCTGTAAGTGTCAAGACAGCTCATAGCTTTGACAGGTGGTAAGAAAGAAACTGTGCTTCTAGCACCTCTGGTCAAAGAGAGCATTGTGGCAATAGGGATGTTTTGGCCCCTGGGTAGAACATGCTGAAAGAGAAAGAAGAGGAAAGAAAGGGAAAGGAGGTGGAGGGGAAGGTTCATAAACACCACGAGGCTGAGAGGTCATAAACTACTGTTGATTATGAAAAGGTTATTTTTGCCATATAAATTGAAGTTCCAGCAAAAGATAAGAAATAACAACACAGAAAAACTCTATGTATCATTCTATGGTGGCGTTTATTACGTATGTTCTTTTTAAGTTAGTTTTCTAAAGGCAATACTTGTCCAGCACTTACAGCCCATTAAGCATATCTTTCAGAACTGGAGACTGCACTAATAGCATGTCCATTATCAGTAGCTTTGTAAAATGACTAAGCATAAAAACTGCCTAGATAATTTAAGGATTGGGATGCTGTGAGTTTAATGACCCCATTCTCCTGTCCCTTGCTACACAAATACAAACATTTTTGGCAAGTACTTTTCATTGTTCATCTTGTGACCCTCTGGGGTTATGCATCCTTATAAAAGCGATCTTCAGCTTCAGCTACCTTTTGTTCAGACATCTGTACAAAGTTTTCGAGGTTTGGGATGTTGTTGGGTACATGGCGATCTTTGCCATGCCTGATTCTAAACCCGATTGTCAATACAGTCTGTATGTACTGGGTTCTTTATCCGTGCCTGTCATAATCACTGAGGATAAAGACTGCACAGATAAGTAACTTTCAGGTTATATGTTGAGTGATGTCTCTAAATGCCAATGTCTCTCTTGTCCCGCTGTAGATACCGAGTGGCAATCTGGGTATGTTTGGCAATAGCGGAGCAGCACAAGCCAGGACCATGCAACAGCCGCAGCAACCGCCAGTAACCTCTTAACCCGCTGTAGATACCGAGTGGCAATCTGGGTATGTTTGGCAATAGCGGAGCAGCACAAGCCAGGACCATGCAACAGCCGCAGCAACCGCCAGTGCAACCTCTTAATTCATCCCAGCCTAGTCTTCGTGCTCAAGTGCCTCAGTTTCTATCCCCTCAGGTTAGACAGCACTTCCACTCCTGGAGTTTTCCCTTTCCCTGGAACTCTTCCATATGCACTCTCCTTTCCATATGCATTCTGTCATACTCCTGAGGCTTTGCAGCTACTGTTGTCTGGCCGTGTCTGTGTTGATTTATTCACTAGCCAGTAAGCGTGTTACATGTGTAAGATGTTCTCGTGTGTAGACTCTGTACGTTATCTGTGTGGGCACATTCTCTTGTTCCTTTTTGCAAAAAGTAGTGTTTCTAGAGAGCCGATGAGTTTGTTCTCAGCTCTTTTTCTATACATGGATGTTTGAGTATGGTTATTAAGATTTGTATTAGAGTCTCATTAACTCTTTGGTAGTTCATGGTACTACTTCTGATAATAGTAATATTTTCCAGCTGATGTCTTATGACTCTTATTAATGGCTTACACAGTTGCCAGTGTTAAAAGTAAATGTACAATGTTTAATACACTGCTCTTTCTTAGGTTCAAGCACAGCTTTTGCAGTTTGCAGCAAAAAACATTGGTCTCAGCCCTGCACAGTTAACCTCGCCAATTAATAATCCTCAGCATATGACGATGTTGAACCAGCTCTATCAGCTGCAGCTGGTAAGTTAAAAGACATGGCAAATAAGCTCTAAACCAGAATTGAAGGCATGAAGAGAAAATAAGGGAATGGCTAACTAAATTTTTAAATGGACATGACAGATCTTTAAAACCAGATGCTGATTTCTTTGGTAGAGTTTCTTTTCAAAGAAACAAAATCATGTTTTTTGCCTCGGGCTTTATAAATAGTCATTTGTGGAATAATTATCCTTCACAGCTGATCAGTGGAACTAAAAAAGTCAGTTGTCTTCGTACTGGTATGAGTAGCACAGTATATTCTCAAAGAGCACTCATCTGTGTATTACATGCCAACGTATGCAACTGATTGACCAACTGGGAAATTTGTGTCGCAACACAAGAAGAGAGAAATCTTGGCAGTGCTGGTCCCCTGAGTTACCTGGAGAACTTCCTTCAGTTGCCTCACTAAATAATAAAGTGTAGGGTAAATTTGCTGTAATTAATGGAATGTATATTAAACACATCGTGATAAGAACTGCTTGTTTTTGAAAAGTTGTGTACTTTTGCTATATTTGCAAATTTTACATATATGTATATATGTGTGTGTGTATGAAAATATTTAATTGAATTTTATGAATATTTTTAAAAGAGATACTGCTAACATTAAGTCAGCATTTGCTAGAGTTAAACATAAAATTGAGGATGACAGACTAGCTTAGTTGCTGATCTCAATGTGCTAGTCAAACTCTTTTGTTAGTAACAGTGTTTGATACTGTTGTTCATTTCTGGTTATGTTTCCTAGTTTTGAGGAGCACAGCATTCATCTCATGCCATGGTAATAATTGAACAGTACCCAGCTACTTGAAAAAATATATGTACAGGACTTCTTTGGATTTTAAATTCACATGTTTCAGAGAAACACCATGAAAAAAAAATTTACTGCCCAGTTAACCACATTAACATTGTGGAATTTTTCTGGAATAAAGCAGCACAACTGATTAAATACAGAGTGTTGTCAGAACTCAAAATGGCCAAACCAAAAATAACTATTGGTATTTATCCTATTTGTATGGTATTATAAAATTCTATTTTAATTTTTGCTTTGTCTTACGATTTTTTCAGAAAAAAAAAGTTCCTATCTTTAATGAACACTTACTGCTCATAAACTTACTCATCAGGGTTTTTTATTGACATGTTTGGTTTTAAAAAAACCTAACGAACACTGGACTTAAACAAATGTATTTTAGAATACCTTCCTAACAAGATTGTTACTTTTGCTTCATTAACTGTTTTCAGAAAACTCCAGCGTTTCTGTCTTTTCTATTTTATAACGTACCAGAGCAGTTCAAGCAAGCTTGTTCAGCTCATTGTATATGTTAGGACCTCTGACCTCTCATTTCTGTCTTGTAGGCGTACCAACGTTTACAAATCCAGCAGCAGATGTTACAGGCTCAGCGTAATGTTTCCGGACCCATGAGACAACAGGAGCAGCAAGTAGGTTTGCCTGCCAGTTCAGTCTCTCCATTAGACTTTGGTTTCAATGGCTTAAAGAGATTGTACTACATTATGCAAAAGCAGCTAAAGCATCCTTAGAAACAATAATATAGTGCATGGCTTGAGTATTGAAAAGGAAAGAGTGCTAGAGTAATAAAGCTATTTCACAGCATTCAGTTATTGGAGGAAAGCTCTTCGACCCTTAATTTGGTTTATTTGTAAAGAGATCTATTGTGTTATTTCATTGTAGAGAAAGGCACAAGAAATCTAGTGTCTTTTTGTTCAATTGAGCGTTTATTGATTCTTTTTCTTGCCAGGTTGCACGTACAATCAATAACATGCAGCAGCAGATCCAGCAGCACCAGCGCCAGCTGGCCCAGGCCCTGCTTATGAAGCAGCAGCCTCCCCCTCCACATCTATCTTTGCACCCCTCTGCAGGCAAATCAGCCATGGATAGCTTTTCACCCCATCCCCAGGCTCCCGGCCTACCTGACCTGCAGACCAAAGAGCAACAGTCTTCACCGAACACCTTTGCTCCTTACCCTCTCGGTGAGCGTCCTTCATTAAAGCAGTTCCGTATGAAAAAGACAGAGGGAGTATATTTCATTATTTCAGCACCTAAATATTTTGCTCTACGATATAATAAATACAGAAATACAAAAGATGTGTTTATTAAATAATGTTGAAATGCCTCAACAAAATCATGGGACTACATGCCTATCTGGTAGCTGTTCAGGTGGGCTGTATTTGCTCATCTGTGCTCTGCCTACAAATATCAGAACAGAAGATTTGCTTAATTAACTATCTACGTATGTTGCTATTTATGAACTAAATATATATTAACAGCATCATGTTGTAAAATACACAAATGTCATTGATAAACAGGAATATCGTCTGGAAGTCATGCAAAGTCATCTTTCCACTCTAATAAGCACTGGTAAGGGCATCAGTTTTGGTCAGTGTATTTTGAGAAAGATACAGATCAGTTTGAAGGAATGCAGAAAAAGTGTTGTGCAGATGATTAGATGTTGGCCTCAACTTGGCCTCAGGTTGCGCCAGGGGAGGTTTAGATTGGAAGTAAGGAAAAATTTCTTTACTGAAAGAGTGGTTGAACATTGGAACAGGCTGCCCAGGGAAGTGGTTGAGTCCCCATCCCTGGAGGTATTTAAAAGACGTGTAGATGAGGCGCTGAGGGACATGGTTTAGTGGGTGGTGGTGTTGGGTCGATGGTTGGACTCGATGATCTCAGAGGTCTTTTCCAACCTCAATGATTCTATGATTCTATGATTCTACGTTTCAAAAACATGACTGCTAAGGAAAAAGTGAAATCCTCTGCTCAGTTTAGTCTAAAGAGAAGGCTTAAGAGACATGCAGGAAGTCTTCAAAAATGTGAAAGATAGCTTCTAAGAAGTTTTCTTGCATGTGGCTAATGCAAGAGGTAATAAACTTTTGTTGCATAAAAGGAGATCTAGTTAAGGATTGCTTACTTGCTTTAAGCAAAGTAGAGTACTGGAATAAGTTATCTGGGAAGTTTCTGAAATCTTCTTCACCGGTCATGTTGTGGTAGGTTGGACATAGAGCTGTCAAATATGATTGATGTCAAAATAATCAATTCGGCCTTGAGACAGCGTGAACAGAACAACCTTTCAGACATGTTTTCTGTGATTGTTTGATGTATGTTACAGACTTCATTTATGACATAAAGGAATTAATGTAATCTCTTTGTGGCTCTCTTTATGCTGTGTACAATAGAATTGCCAAGCTTTATCTGCCATGCAGCAGTTAAGAAGGTAATTTTGACTGCTATGGTGAGCTGTTAGAGCAGGGAGCATCAGAAGGCAAAAGAACTTATGAATTAAAGGCCTAAGTCTAACAGGTACTTATCATATCTCAGCTGCCTGTGATCTGCTCCCTGCTAATAATCCTGCTTCAGGATTATCTATCAAAAAGAACCCAGATTCGTGTCACAGAAGCATGTCAAAATTATTCCTTAAATATAGTCTGATTTTGTTCTGTGTACACAAAACATATGCCCAAATAGTACACTACCTGCTCTGATGAATAGCAGCTGATTGTATGACCTCTTAATTAGTTGCTTTGTCTGGATTTTTAAAATGTTGTTAGCAAAATAAAATGGCAGACATCATGGGCGTGTGCTGGTGAGACATTAGGAATATTTTGGCTTAGCAATGGAATGCTGCAAATTCTTCACTGGTTTAAACATAGCATTCCACTGCATTCTTCCAGAATGCCTTTGCTGAGACAAGTGAAGAGACTGCAAGTAGAAATACTGACAGCTTTAAAATATTATCCCTACCTCTTTTTTTCTTTTTTCCTTTTAGCAAAGTTTTAACGTTTTCTGAATCCATGGGAGTTATATTGGTGTTCCCATAAAAGCAACAGTTCTTGACAGCAGGTTGAAAATGTGCATAGTAAATTACTACACATACGTACAGATGTCTGAAAATCAATGTTTAATAATTTCTTTAGCTGGATTTTTAAACACATCTTTTAATCCTCCAGTTTATTGTGGGTATCTAATGACCTGTTTCCCCTTAGCTGGACTGAACCCGAACATGAATGTAAATAACATGGACATTACTGGTGGTTTGTCAGTGAAGGACACTTCTCAGTCCCAGTCTCGCCTTCCTCAGTGGACACACCCCAACTCAATGGATAATCTGTCTAGTGCTGCTTCTTCGCTTGACCAGAACTCCAGCAAGCACGGTATGTCGCGTTTAATCTCTGGGTCAGTCTGGCTTTTTGAGACTTGAGTCATATTGCAATTGTAATTTTTTTCTCATGTTACTATTTTTGGTTAGTACTCATAAATGGTTGGTACAGAGCGCCCTTTGAGACTGTGATATTTTTAAGATGATTTCTGCAGTCACATTCAGCAATGCATTGAAGTTCTTGCAGCTGTCACTTCCTACATGCAGTGTAGGAACGTTTGTTTTCATGTGCTGAATTTTGTTGCTCAGAACATGGAGTTTAAGTAAAACAAGCCATTAGTGTTGGCAAAACAAGTCCCACAAGCTTCCCCTTACTCCAGATCTGCATACCTTCAATCCAGAAAAGCTTTACATTGGCTTTTTCCCACAATTTTTCCAATATCATCAACCTTTCACAGCCAGTCCTGTACAAAGGCATGATGGATTATATAACTACCCACCCTGGGAGTTAGGAGCACAAACTTCATATTTTTCCAGAAGTGATTGCTAATCTGTTTGAACACCTTTATCCCTAACGCCTCCAGTATCCTGAGTCGTTTATTCCTTTATTTCCTGTACCAAGTTTATTCTGTTATGGTGCTCTGTTAACTTTATTGTATCCTGGATTTTATTATGAGCAGCATGAATTATTTCTTTTACAATAGGTTTTTATTCTGCAAGTAGCTGTACTGCTTATGCCAAATTGTTGTTTGATAGTTTGTAGGAACATGAGAATGGCCATTTCAAATCATCCATCCCATTAGCAATGAATACCTAGAGAAGGATGAGAAGAGCGCTTGCCTACAGTGGTATTCCTTAGTATGCTGTCTCAGCAAATTCCTATTTACCATCAGTGTAATGATTTGAATTACTTGGTCTCTTTTTGGCAGTGATGTAATGCGAATTTATTTAACTTGAGTGTCTAGATTGTACCAGCGGTGTGTCTCACAGCTATAATTTGTAGTAAGGCTTCAGAGGCTGCTAAGCCTTGCTTACTGTGTTTATATTTTCATTTTCTTTTTTATCTTTGTAATACAGAAAGAAAAAAAGAAAATAATAACAAAATACAGGGACTGATGAAATTCCATACCCAAAATTGGTCCCACTCCTAAACAAACCATTTCATTCATTACAGGTGCTATACCTGGAGGTTTAAGTATTGGTCCTCCGGGAAAGTCCTCCATTGATGACTCTTATGGCCGGTATGATCTGATTCAAAACAGTGAATCGCCCGCCAGTCCACCCGTAGCTGTTCCTCACAGCTGGTCACGTGCCAAAACCGATAGTGATAAGATTTCCAATGGCTCCAGCATAAACTGGCCACCAGGTAACAAAATACAAAGTGTTCGTGTTAAACCGATGTCCTTAAAACGTATTGTTGGTTTCATTTATTGAATCCTCATGCCTTCTGATACACAGGAACTTTGGAGAATTACAACTTTATATAATCTTCTTTTTATTATATTTGAAACAGAGTTTCATCCAGGAGTGCCATGGAAAGGACTGCAGAATATTGATCCTGAAAATGACCCCGATGTTACTCCTGGAAGTGTTCCAACTGGGCCTACCATAAACACCACGATACAGGATGTTAATCGCTATCTTCTCAAGAGTGGAGGTAAACACATAATTTACTTCATCTGTGTATACTTTCTTTTTCTTTCCAAAAAAAGGTGACTTCATATATGATGGCTGTAGTATATTTTTGCATGTAATCCTAATCTAATAATGCTTCTGCTCTGAACTTTCACTGAAAATCCAGAAATACTTGATTTAAATATAGGACTGAGAAATTTCTGGTTGACAAATGTTGTGAGATGTAATATAAAATTCTGTGGTCACTGGAAGTTTTTGTAACCTGTAATGCTTTGTTTTGAACAAGAGTTTGCTCTCCACACTGACCAACCTCTTACATACACTTTGTGAAATACTCAGAAGACACAATGCAAAAGTTCCACAGTTGTTGCTGAGGCAGCAGGCTTCTGTCACACTAATTAATTGTAGCTTTGTTAGAAGATCAATCAGCAAAATAAATTAGAACTGTTTTATCCCCAAAACCATCAAAGAAAAGAAAAAATAGGGAATTGACTAGTAAACTAGTATTTCCCAGTGCCATTTCCATTCCTTTTGTCTTGTCAGTGCTAACTCTGGAATTAAAAGGGTACTCTCTAAAACAATAAACCATTGGGACTATGCGACTTGTTAACTAGATGTACTGAAAGTGGATCAAGGGAAAGGTGGCTGTGTTTAATCATGATCAGCGTGCCGAAATAGGCAAGTTATCTGCACTCTATTAGAGCACTCTAATATGCACAGGAATAGTATAATGAGGTTGTCAAGAAGGACCTGTCAGGATTAAAAATGTGGATTTTGTTCTAGTAGTTACATCTGTGATATCTGCGTAGATTGTAAATCGGAACTATCCTTGAAACAGGCTTCCAGCTCTGGGCTTGTTAACTCAGACGAAGGGATGTGAAACGTGAGGGGAAAGGAGGCAGGGGTTTTCATTGCCTTGAATGATTTTAGTTGTCCCTTACCAGAAAGCAATCTTTATTTAAGCTGAAACATGGAGTATTTGTGTGCATGAGTAATGTTGAATTAACTTTTAATGATGCAAATGTACTTCAAGGGGCAGGCAACCTGAATGGTTTGAAGTTATAAAAAGAAAAGTATAAAGACATAATTCAGTCACAGTTCAGATACGGTACACCTAAGAAATACTCCCTTTAGACCAAAAGCCTAGCCCTACAGAGCTATACCTGTAAGTTAGATGATACCTACTACAGGTCCTTCTTCTTTGTAGAAGGAAAGTATACATTAGCGCTGTTGGCATATAATCTGTCTGTGGAATGAAGAAATAATTACGCTACTTAGAGAGGGTCAGTATACATGATTTTTGCAGAAGTAAACAGGCCCTCAAGAGCCAGAACCTTCTGAAAAGCAGTGACTGTTGCGGTCCATGTATGCTTTCCTTTCCTCATTAGTTTTTTAGCTTGTTAATAATACAATTTTAGTAAAAAGTGTAGTTGCTGAATCTGTTTCTTTATGCTCGTATAACCTAGGTGTTTGCTCCTAGGTAAAATTATCTGTCAGTATCCCTCCATATGAGACTGGGGCTTTCACGACATGCTGCCAGGCATGCAGCCTGAAGTACACGGATTGTATTAACAGAGCTGATCTCCATTTAGAGGGCTAGACTGTGGTGTATACCATCCTTGCACTGTATGCTTAGAAACAGACAAAACCTAAGCTTTTGGGTTGTTTTTTGTTTTACCCTGTTTGCTAATGAAGCTTTGCAGGGCCAGCTACTATGAGCTGAAAGTCTTAGCCATATGGAATCAGGAACGGTTTCAGCTCTGTGGGCATATGGGCTTTTGAATCTGATACAATTCCCTCACTCCTGCCTAGGGAATAGATTATTTCCAGAGAGGGCCTTGATACAGAGTTATTTTGCTTGAAACTGATGTCTGTATTGGTGTCCTTTGGAGCGCAGTGAGTCTGGATAAGGTGAAGTTTGGTTGGTTGCTGTTCCAGTTGAAAATATAGCCTGTGTTTTTTATTGAGCTGAGGGATGAGATTGTCGTTTTACTTCCTCCCTTCTACCTCAGTACAGCGCTCTTTTCCAAAGAACTCACCTATTTTTATTAGTCAGTTAAAGATGTTTCACTATCACAGTCCATCTGTGTATGTCAGGAATGATAAGTCATGTAGGATACACACTTAATTTTGTTGGTGGCTAGAGAGAATACCTCCAGCTCTTCTGGTCTTTATAATGAAGATACTTTATTTCATGTTCAGTTTCTTTCATTTGCTGCCAGTAAGGAAATTGTATGTATGCTTAGATAGCTCCTCAGATTGTAAATGATTTACCAAGATGGTTTCAGGCTATTTCATTTAATGTTACCAGTTTGAGAAGAGATTGCTAAAATATATCCTTGCTTTACTGAAAGTCTGCAAAAATGTACAGATGTTTGTGGGCATTAGGATGTAGCAGAAGTGCTTACCTCGAGTAATTTAGGGCAAATCACCTATGGTAAGAGGTTAGTTTATCATACACATCTATGCTCATCTACAGTTGCCATTCCTTAAGTCAGCCGGCAGAGCACCTTTATAAATGAAGCCTGTTCCTTGAGACATTTACCAAGATGGTTTCAGGCTATTTCATTTAATGTTACCAGTTTGAGAACTAAAATCTAAAATATATCCTTGCTTTACTGAAAGTCTGCAAAAATGTACAGATGTTATTAGGATGTAGCAGAAGTGCTTACCTCGAGTTTAGGGCAACAAATCACCTATGGTAAGAGGTTAGTTTATCATACACATCTATGCTCATCTACAGTTGCCATTCCTTAAGTCAGCCGGCAGAGCACCTTTATAAATGAAGCCTGTTCCTTGAGACTAAACAGTTTAACACTGATTTTTTGAGAGAGTCACGTATCTTAAAGGAAATGCAGAATTGATCTTCTGCACAGGCACCTAGTACCTTTGCTACTGTGCCAGCTTTCTTTTCTTTTCTGCTAAAGACTTCTGCTTCACTTTATCATGCTTTCTATAACATTTCATTCCTAGACTTCAGAGACCAGGCTGATTAAGGAAAATGCCTTGCATGGTTTGTATTTGCACATAATAGATTTGCTTATGTCACACCAAACATCATTATGCCCATCTTTCTTAGTTGCTTCTCTGCTGGTTCTGCAGGGTCATCCCCAACATCATCTCAGAATGCCACGCTGCCTTCATCGAGTGCCTGGCCGCTTAGTGCCTCCGGCTACAGTAGCTCTTTCAGCAGCATTGCATCCGCACCTAGCATTGCAGGTACGAAAAATGGCCTTTCTACTTTCGCATCCTTCTGCATTCTGAGAAAAGGCCCTAGAAAGTGCTTTCCCAGTTATTACAGTAGTGCTACTATAGACAGAAGCATATTTTTTAGTACTGTGCTAGGTAGGCAGCTCTCCTGGCAGCTCTCGAGTGGTGAGCATTGGATGGTATGCCTGGAATTGTGCTAAGGAAAAATGTATTTATTCCACTTGGTGCCCCATGCTGTCACTCTGTATTGGCATCGAGATCTCTTAATGACTATTTCCACTGCAGCTTTGAGGAGGAATATTGCCTAGGGCCTCAGTAGAAACACCCCTACTAGACCCTTCTAGTAAAAGCTGATACGAAATTTTTTTTAATAAACTCACTGTTAAAAGTGAGCCATCTTCAGCTCAGGAAAAAGTTTAGTAGTACCTCAAGGAGGTACTCTGCATGGCTGTGGAGGGGTTGGGTTTGGGGCTCTTAAATGTCTTTTAATAGTCAATCCTAACCCTGATGCTCCCCTATATGGCTGAGATTGTAGGTCATCTAAATAATTACCCCATTCTTTTTAATGAGCTATAAATTCTGGAGCATCTCTCTCTGCAAATCATAGAAACTTTGCTTGCAAACTGGCTACCTAAGTATCGAGTTTATCCCATTATAAAAATGTGTTGGGGCTGTTGTATGGATTGTCTTAGCATTTTCATATCTAATCAATGAAAACCCTCCACTTCTTTGAATAAAGGAAGGTGCAACCTCCAGGTACTGGAGAATGCAAATGCAGAATGCAAAACAAAAAGGGATCGTTTGAAATGTTTTACTCCAGTGAAAGGAAGAGAAAGGAATGGCTTGCTTTTCTTTTATCTGCCATGCATTTCTGCTTTATTTGCTTTTTATTTTTTTGCAGTGTCATCTAATCTTTGTGTTAACCCCATGAGAAGTAGTGACATAGCAACATCTAATGTGTGGTAATGTGCATGTATCATGTGCTACATCGCAGGCTCAGCTGCTCTGAGTTCTAAACCTCAGACTTTCTCCCTTTCCTCCCACCATTTTACCCTTGTTAATGTTGTCATCATCATCATCATTGTCGAATTATTTCTGTTGCTACAGTTTGCAAGAAGATGGGACAGTGGTTGCCCTTTCACTTAAATTGTTATGATTCAGTATAAAATCATTGAGTTAAACGATACAGATAAATCGAGGCAATTTGGGGAGTGTGTGTGTATATAACTGAGGCTGTGATTTGGTGACTGGTGAATTTGGCTTTAGGACTAATAAAAAAACCTCAACGGCTGCCTGATGCAGAGCACTGATTCAGTATAAGCTTAATCTGCCAGTTCAAATCTGGTTTTAAAAAAATTCCCAAGATTTTTGCATCTTGGACTTTGTCAGGCCAAGTATTTTCTTACTGTCTGCAATCAACATTAAAGCATTAAGGCAGCATTATCACAATACCATTTGCTCTGGCAGAAGATGCGGTGATGTGTGACCATTTCAGTCCATTCCAGTCAAACATGTGCTGCTAATGTTAGTAACGGTGGGACTGTGCTATGACAAGGAAATTTGACTCTAATTTCACAACATATGTTGGTGCAAGGAAGAAAGGCAGGGATGTGTAAGTCTAAAGGTGAATAAAGGGTTTTGTTTTGGTATCTGTAATTTGAATCAATTTTGTCTGCCACTCTGAATGCTAAACGGTATTTGTTATTCTTGGTTTTTGTATGATTTTATAAAACTCTGGTTTGGCAGGAACAGTAGTAAGATAGTTGAAAAACTGATTAGGGAAATAAACTGAGCAGAAAGTTACAAAGAGTGACAGGTTGTGATATGGTCATCTTCTGAAAACAGTAGTAAGATAGTTGAAAAACTGATTAGGGAAATAAACTGAGCAGAAAGTTACAAAGAGTGACAGGTTGTGATATGGTCTAATCTTCTGAAGACTTCATTTTTCTCAAAGACACTTGGAAAAAAGAGTATCTGTTACTTTGAATATTCAGAAATACAGGTTTTGTTGGTCTTTGATCTTTGAAATTTTAATAATATATCAGAAGAACATATGGATATACTGGTTACTTTACATTAGATAAAATGAGTTGTGTAAGAAAAAGTGGTTAAGTTCTGTTAAACCTTTGAGAGAGACAATCTTGAAGTGTTTCATTATAATTTTGATGAAATCAGATTTCAAATACTTAAGTCCATTTTCTGGTCTTTTTCTCATGTATCGTCTTTTACGAGAAAGCGAAATAGTAGGAGATGTTAAAAAGGGAACTGTATGTGTAGCAGGTGTTGTGAGATTCAGTAAATACAAAATTCTTTGAAAATGTAAATACCTAGTGTAAGTAGGTTAAAGGATACAGGATTTATATCGCTGGATGGTACAGAATGCTATTCTTTTCTCTTCTGAAAAGCTGGAAGAATATAGTCAATGCAGAAGCTTGACTGTTACCCATCCTACTTGGTTTAGCAGTTGTTGCTAACTAAAAATACACAAATGTATTTTTTCTGTTGCAGGTAAATTGTCAGACATCAAGTCTACGTGGTCCTCTGGCCCAATCTCTCACACACAAGCCTCTCTGTCCCACGAACTATGGAAGGTACCCAGAAACACTACTGCTCCTACGAGACCACCTCCAGGCTTAACAAACACCAAGCCATCATCTACGTGGGGTGCCAGTCCCCTGGGCTGGACCAGCTCTTACTCCTCTGGTACTCTTGACTTCTGTGTTTTATAACACCACAGTGCCTTCTTTTTACCATTGTTCGCTCTTATTCTGTGTTACAATAGTGAGGCACCCCATAGCTGTGTATTAGGCTCCAGAAACTTGAGGTTTAATACAAGTAGAGCGTGTCTGTTTTGGGGATGAAGCTCAAGTCTGTTTATTTTAACTAGGATAAGTTGTAAATGAAGCTGTCATCTTTCAGGTGGTCATATTAGTAATTTTATGAAGGAATTGCCAAATTATTTAACTCCAACTAGGATTTTTTCCATTTCCTTAATTTCTAAAAATATCCTTTAAACATGTTTCTTGTTTTGTGGTGTGATCTATGACTGCCTGTGAGGCTTCAAGATGAGTGAATCAGCCCATGGAATTTAATATGGAACACATTTTTGGAGCATGGATGTGAAGCATTTAGGACCTGATGGCATTGCAGGGCCCTCAGGGAATGTCTTAATTTTTTCATGCAGGCTGTTTTTTTAGATGTCGTTGTTTTGCTTAAATACAAATATGAGAAACCATGGATGTGGCTATATAAATATATGTATTTATACACCATGTTTGTTTGTGAAGTATTGTCAGCTTCAAAAGTATTACACCTATTTTATAAAGCTGACTGTTTTATTAATCTGCTTTCACTAAGTTGGGAATTCAATGTTCTTCCCTCTTCTTGCCATTTATTTTGTCTCAGTTTTCTTCACCAAAACCCCACCTGGTGGGCAGATATTGCTGGTGCCAGGATTCTCTCTGGAGCCTGAGTGTGGTCACACATGTGACTACAGAAGTACTGCAGTTTCTCAAATGCCACTCATAAATATCAAGCTTTTACAGTTTCTCATTGTAAAACACCAGGCTGAAGTTGGAAAAGCAGGTTTTGTTGGTTATGTCCTTGTATCTTTAATCATAACATTGTCAGTGCAGAAATATGTGTTTTGAATAAGTCACATACATTAATGTGTCATTGGCAAGATAGCAGAATGCTGCAGTGCTATAAAAATCTTTAATAGCAAGCAGCAATCTAAGCTTGGACATCTGAATAGCTTTCGAAATGTGTCTTCCAGATTAATTCTAATGTCACCTGAAGATACCATTTGTTGCAGTGTCATACCTGCATCCGCTAGTTTTCTAATAGTTATTGTGGGAATGTGAAAAATGCCACAGATCTTTTAAATGTAGCAAAAGCAGATTTTCATTCAGCAACCTTTCATTCCGAAGACGACAATAAATCAAGATGTGAGGAAACTGCTGTAGGATTTGTTTTCAGTAGCAATACTGCTTGGTAGTATGCTGTGATTGCAGATAAGTTTTCTTCTTGTAATATGCTCTCCACATCATGATAAAATGTTCTGTTGTGGAATTTGTATTATAGGTTCTGCGTGGAGTACTGACAGCTCAGGGAGAACAAGCAGCTGGCTGGTTCTTCGAAACCTCACACCCCAGGTAAACAGAATTGTACATAACTAGTTATGAAAAGAGACTTGTCACATTTAAGAGATAAGAAGAACATTTATCAGCCTTGGTCATTTGGTTCATTTGAAGGGAAAATAATTATTCTGCATTATTACAAGTGTCTGTTTTCTACAGGGAATTTGTTAAGTTTTCAAAGTGCTGTCAAGTCAAGTATGAACTTTTAAGACTGTAATTACTCATTCAAGTGTGCACCATTTATGTATGTGTAAGTTTGGAGGTGAATGATGTTTTAAAGCAGATACAGAGATGTAAAATCTGCTTTTTCTATGGGTTGGCTTTGGGGTTTTTTTTTCTGTTCTTCTAAGTCTGTCAAATCCTCTAGTCCTCAGCGTAGTGTCATTCACAAAGAAGAACTTCAGTCACAAAGCCTTGAATGTAGACATCCAAATTAATCTTGGGGAAAATTTAGTTACATTTATGAACCGTGTGTTTTTCCTTTGACTTATTTCTGGACTTCTGTGGACTTCTAATGATAAATATAATTTGTATCACCTAAATTGGGAAATTCTGTGCACTGGACTGCAGGGAAGTCTTAAAAAGACAGGATGTCTCGCTCAGTGAAGACCGTGATAAGTCTATAAATTCTTCTTATGGAAGAAAAACCTTTTTTCTCTTTCATCTGTACTTATTCTTTAGCTTTTAAAACTTGCTTAGTTAATAAGCATTTAAAGTAAAATCACAAAAATACAGATAACCTTTCCCCCCTTTCCCTCTTACCAGATTGATGGTTCCACACTGCGGACACTGTGTTTGCAACATGGCCCTCTAATAACATTCCACTTGAACCTGACGCAAGGGAATGCTGTGGTCCGATACAGTTCCAAGGAAGAAGCAGCCAAGGCCCAGAAGTCTCTGCATATGTACGTTTCTGCTCTCTCTTTGTTATGAAATCAGTTTTATCTCAGAAACTATTTTCTTAGGCATTTATTTGCTAGGACTCGAAACTGATCACTAGTTAGTTTAATCCGATTTTGGAAATTACCTAATGAGAGAGAGAAAAAAAAATTGGGGACTAGATACTCATATACTACTGAATAAGAGGTCATTATAAAACTTGATAATAGATGTTCACCATTAATAATGTGCTCAGTAAGGAGCACATTGTCACCTATAAGACTGCAAAGAATTTGTAAGATGTGATGAGAATTCCAAAGGAAGCTCGGAGAGAAAAGAGCATGAGGCAGGGTTTTAGCTTAGAGAGCAACAGAAAGGACAAAATGATAAAGAATGCATTCATGAGGGTCACCTTTTTTGAAGGAGTTTTGAAAGAAATTGGAAGAAAATGTATGACAACAAAATGTGCTTTTTAGGTGTTTTAAAATCTGTGGGACTAATTGGCATACTAGGCAAGAGCTGGAGAATTTGAGTGATAAAATCAGTTATGTTTCAAAAGAAGACTTAGGTGCTTAGAGTTGGAAAGCAATTTTCTTTATCAACAGGTTATAGCAGGAGTATAATGAAAAATACTGATCATAGCGGAAACAATGTTTGGAACTAGCTGTACTACTGGCCTGATTACCGTCCCTATACTTGGAGATTTAGGAGCAATGGTTACTCCATATGTAAAGTTGCAACTACTTTCCCATTACGAACCTGATTAACAGAAATTGTAGCAATAATAGTAATATTAATGACCGTGTTGCTTTTTTAACTGTTGACCATTCCTTAATTAAATATTACGAAGCAGCATTCAGAACAATTGGAGATGAAAAATTGACCCAATTTAGTTACATCACTTTAGATGTGGGCATCAGATAAAAGAAATAATGCCAAAGGCAAAATTAATACGCAAGTTTAAAGATGAGTGCTTATTTTAAATATGTACATGGCAATGTCCTTACATTATCAGTGATCTGGAAGGCCTCCGTTTAAATTGTTTTTTTAATAGGTTGTGGCATAACTCTAGCTACACTGCTGGCAAGGACAGGACAGACCTTTCTGAATGAAAAGGGTTGAGCTATATATGCGTTTGGTTTGCTGGCAGGGTGACAACAGTAAAATACGCTGGGATTTGTGGAAGCCAACAGGGCAGTATTAGAGTTCCAAGAGATATCAGCCACTATCTGTTTCACAGATAAATGTTTACATGGAGTTGATCACTGGAAAATACATCGCAGAGCCAACAGTCTCAGATCCCATCTGATTTGATATGAGAATAGCTTGCTCACGCTCTTCATCTCTGGTTGCGTGGGGGTGTTTTGCTATATAAATTAGGAGCAGCAGTGATTAGTACTTTTTGGAAATTAATTTAAAATTTTATGAAGAACGCATAGTTTTCAAAGACTGCGTTTGCATCCCTTCGCTTACATGTTTAGGAAAGGCAGACATTCTTACGATGTGATTTTCAGCAAGGAGCATTTGGACAAACCCTGCTTGTTGATGGCTTCCAAACCAGAGGCTGCGGTGAGGGGGAATAGCCATTACAAACACGTTTGTATTCCAGCGAGAGCGTAGTTGTTAATGTATGTGTTCGGAGTTACCATTGCCATGCAGTGGTGAGACTGAACTAATTCAGAGAACCTGGAGGTTTAGGCAGACAGTGCCAGGTAGATTTATCCTCCAGTCTTTTTAAAAAGACCTTAGCTTGCAAAACAAATTCTAGAAGAAAACAAAAGCTAGGTTCTTGGAAGAATTCTGCATCCATTGCATTAGTCATGCAGTTATTCTTGTCAAACATACACAAAGGAAATTAATTTTAAACTTACTATTAAAGTGAGGTTTCAGGGAACAGGAGGGGGGGAGACAAAACCTTCAACTTTGCAGGATGAGTGGTGAGTTGCACTGAAGTACAAATCAATTTTTAGAGTACAGATGTTGGAAATGTGTTCCCAACACAGCCAGTGGGTTTCAAGTATATCTTTAAATAAAAGCAGGAATAAGCTTTAGACACGGAAGAGTTAAACCGTACAGTGAAGAGTTAATGTTAAACATTGTGATGGGACAAGACCTTTAAAGGTATGAAAGCATACTTGTTTGTTACATGTGAAAAAAGAAGGATTCTCTAATCTTTGAGTCTCTAAGTCTTCTGAGAATATTTTAAAAAGGAAGAGGATTACACACCTCATGGTCTGGAGGTGTAGCATTGCTTTGCTACATTATATGATGCATTGTCAGAGCTATATTTTGTATGTTAGCTGTTTAGGAAGGCAAAGTGCTGTAATTACTACAGGTCCCACTGCCCAGTGCTCAGAAATAATAAAAGCTACAACATTTATGCAAAAGTGAAAGTGGGGTAAGGCGGCAGTGTTCTCAGGTGCTTGAGCACAGACTTAGAAACAGCATTTCAGCCTTCGCTGTAACTAAGAAGTTACCATCGAGTGTGATGGCTGTAGACATCCTGAGGTGCAAGGTGTCTGAATTTTATTCTGCTCATGTATCTGGCAGATTTAAAAAAGAAGAAAAAAAGAGAGAGAGAGACTTCTTTTCTTTTCCTGGTTAGTTGATTTTAAAATATGCAGCAAATGATTGATTCAGTTGCAGGATTTAAATACTAGAATATATTCCTTGATGACAAATTAATGTGAAGCAAACAGTTTTTGAAAATGTATTATAATAAATGTGTCATTGTCGGCGTCATTTGTTACTGATAATGCTGGTATGCTCCTATCTTTGTGCCCCAATAGAATACAGCCTCCCATGATGCATGTTAGTTAAACGAGGTGGTCTCCTCACATACAGCTTTGTGTGTTTGCCTATGGATGTAGAAAGGTAAATAGAAAATAGGACAGAGAAGTCTTTGTTCAAGAGACTGTGACTGCTGAAAGTGAGCAGATGTGGCATAAATCTTCATCTCAAATTCAACTTGGGGGAAAAATGGTTTTATATCCTTCTTGGATATTTCCAAAAGCGCCCTTTGCACCCCTTGTTTCATGTCGCACCTTTTGGCTTTGTCCTCAGGTGTGTCCTGGGAAACACTACCATCCTGGCCGAGTTTGCTGGTGAAGAAGAAGTCAACCGTTTCTTAGCACAAGGCCAGCCACTGCCGCCCACCTCCAGCTGGCAGTCCAACACTGGAACCAACCAGACTCGCCTGGGCTCCTCGAGCAGCTCTCACGGCTTGGTCCGCAACGACGCCGGCCACTGGAACACTCCCTGCCTGGGGGGCAAGGGGAGCAGCGACCTGCTGTGGGGTGGGGTGCCTCAGTACTCCAGCAGCCTTTGGGGACCCCCGAGCACCGACGACGGCAGAGTTATCGGAAGCCCGACACCTTTGAATACTCTTCTTCCGGGTGATCTTCTCAGTGGGGAGTCCATCTAGGAAACAAGAGAAACAAAATGGAAATAACAATCATCAGCACTAAAGGAAAAATAAAAATTGTAACCCTTTCCAGTCCCGGGCTTGATGAAGAATCCAGCTTTAACAGATCAGACTGGCAGCCCTTTTTAGTACCTCTGTCCAGTATCAAATATGAAACTGCAGAAGTCCTTGTGAACTGTTCATGAAACAGTATGGGCTACTTTTGGTCAGTGTCACATGCTAATGACAGGTTTTATTTTTTTCATGGCTTTTTGTTTTATGTTGTCTTTTTATGTTTGTATGGTGATTTTAAAAACAAAGTATAAAAGCTGCTTAGAATAGGTCTATCATGAAGGGCACTTTTCAGAATTTGGGCTGGAAAGGGTTATTTTATCAGCTGGGGGGAGGGGGGGGGGGGGGAAGGGGGAAATGAAAGCCTATTTAAAATGAGCCTGTGACTATTATGCACATTACCAGAGGCGGACCCAATAATCAGAAAGGGTGAAGTGTGATATTTACCATGGGTACAGAAAAGTAATGAATCTGAATGGTAACTATTGACTGTACAGGTTGAGCGGGGGGGAGGGAGGGCAGGGTTGGGGTATCTCTGTGTCCACTACTCCCATGGATCTGCCTATGCACATTACCCTTGTTTCATTACTTTTTCATGTCATTTTTTTAATCCCAAAAATATAAAAAGTAAAAAAAAAAAAAACAAAAAAAAACCCACAAAAAAACCCAACAACAAAAAAAAACACATATCAACATGCAAATACTTGAATCCAGCAGGCCAATAACAAAATGTGAACACTTTCTAAGTCTAATTATTACACTTCCAGGTCGGCATCCGTACACAAAAAACAGGCTCTAAGAATTTTTTTTAAAGTTCGGACTATATGTTTTTGTTGGAACAGATGTATGTATGTGAGTGTGCTTGTGTGTATGTGTGCGCGCGTGTGTGTGTGCCCATGCGTGGTTTAACTAAAAGTGTGAATTTTTTCCTTTTATTCAGTATATGCTTTTTATTTGCTCATTGGTCAAATGTTTAATTGTTACTAGCTTCTAACTTTGCACTGAGTGTCCGCAGCCCTTCTTGTAGCTAATCCTATAATGCTAAAAAGAAAAAAAAAAAGAAAAAGAAAGAAACTGATAGAAGGGGCCGGCGACAATTCACGTGTAAATGTTTACTCAAGGACTCTTATCGCATTTTAAAAATTACAGTGTGTATCTCTGGAGAATAATATGTATATCTACCTTTAGCGGCTTTTTATTGTGGACTAATGCAAGAAAATTATTACCGGAGTATTGCACCATTTTTCCATTCGGAATATAAAGTTTAAAAAAAATACTCTTGTTGAACTGTGGCCATAGATAATTGTAAAGAGTGGATAGTTCCCTTGCAAGCAGGAACAGAAACAAGCACTTGGACATAGGTTTTGACTGCTTTTGGAGGAGCCAGGAGTTTTGGCTCCCACCTGTTTACAGACCTTTTTTTCTCCTTCAAACTTTAAAATAAAAAAGGAATTAAAAAAAAGAAAAAAAAAAAAAAAAGACTTCCATCGTAAAGAAAACTATTTTCAGAATGAAGATATGCTACTTCAGAGCTCTGGGATTGAACAGTGTTGTTGTATTATTCTTTTCTTTGGCCATTGCTGTGTACTATTTTTGTTGTTTTCCTCCTCTTCGTCAAAGTGGCGAAAACTTTGTGATCACTATCTTGCACATGGTGGAAGATGTCTCAGGAAAGCCGGGTTTCCCGAGGAGCAACTCCACACCATTTCATGTATTTTTAAAACCCAACTCCTAGCACTGAAGATATTATTAAAAAACAATAAAATAAAAAAAAGACAGTAAGAAAGAAGAAAATACCTAATCTAATGTGTAGCAGTTACATATTTACCAAATAATGGACTCAAAAGAAATAGATGTTTGAAGAGTGCTTTATATATTAAAAAATCGCTTTATGTTTAAAAAAAGATCAATGTTTTTGATTGTTTTGAAAGGAAGAAAGACAATGGAATAACATACACTTCAAGTATGTTTTAAAAATTATATGAACATTGTTATCAGATTTAAAGGGTCCTGCAAGATTGCAAATTAACAAAAGCTGGTTTTATAGAGGATCATGAACTATGCACAAACTGGGTTCAAGACTTGTTTTTTTCTCAAGTTTTAGTAGTGTATTTAGCTGAATAACCTTTCCTCAGAGTAATTGCATCTCATTGCCATTACACGCCTCCTACATATATATTTTATATATATACACACACACTCTTATATAAAATATGTATGTGTGTATGTGTATGTTTACATACAATTTTCCATGCTGAAGTTTAGCATTGAGTTGTAGAAAAACTCCTGATATTTTAAAATTGGGAATGAAAACTTCTGTTTAAGGGTTTGGGGGGTGGGTTTTTGTTTTGGGGCTTTTTTTTTTTTTGCCTTTCCTTTTGAATTAAAGATGTCTGTAACTCTGAGATTAAAAAAAAACAACAATTGTGGCTTTTAATGTTTATTCTCCTCATAGAATGTGATTGTTAAAGAACATGCACCGAAAGTTGCTTTCAAGAGTACGAAGATTCTTTGAAACTTAATAAATTGCAGTTTTTTCTTGGCTTTTCAAATAATGTGTATTTTTCTTTTATGCAGGGGATACTAAAATAAAAAAATACTGTTAAATCTGTTAAGGTATTTCATGGAAGAAGTTTAACTCTTTCAATACTAATGAGAATTAAGTGTACAGCCAGGCAAATCGCTCCTGTAAGTGTAGTCACACACTTTGGATCTGTGCTTGTTGGTGATGGCATTCTCGTAAGCTTGTATCATGAACGCTTTGCATATCGCATCCAAAAGAGTGCTGCGTAAAAAGCAGCAATCATTTTTTTGTTAGAATTATGTTTTCCTCATTTATTCATGTCTTTAGTAATACAGTAGATGAATTGTGAACACTTTGGATACTGCGAGGCTGAAGGCTCCTCTCTAGCTCTGCCATTCAGTCACCCCGTAGCCTCCCGTGTTCTGGGCCTGGATGTCTCTAGCTCTAAATTGCCAGTTCCGCTACATTTTATGAGATGGGCAAATAGCCCGTAAATAAAATAGGGTAGAAACGCCACAATATTTTCATGTTTGGCCTTTCAGGTTTTGAAGTGAAGGGAGATATTTACAGTGGCTAACGCTAGGCATAGGAGGCGAATCACAGAAGGTTTGTGGAGGGACCCAAACTTGCTCCGTCTCCCTTGTCTAAAGCTGAGCTTATGTTCTCCTCCCACCTCCATAAAACCAGTTCTTCACCTCTTGGTGGCATTGAGGTGATTCGTACTGAAAGTGTGATTTACGGCAGGTCTGGCCCCAGGTCTCCAGCGGTTACGAGTTTGTACAGTAGAACTCGTTCCACTAAGCCATTTGAAAGGGGGAAAAAACCTAATGTGAAGAACTGGATTAATAAGAAAGCAGTTCACAGCCTTGAACAACAACACCTGCGCTGCGACTGTAGCCCATCCTTCCTGTCACCAGGATTACCGGCTACTCTGCCATAAACTGTACATTTAATAAGACAGACCCGTGGGGCTGGAGGGACCCAAGCGGCTCTTGAGAGTTTGCAGCTTGCTGGCAGATACGATACAGTTAAAAATTAACAAACCTAGATTTGGGGGTAATTTTTGTTACTTAATTAGCTAAAATACCCAGTCGGAAGCCTGTTCTGCTAATTTAGTTGCCGATACTGCCCCAAAGTTGCACAGCTGTTGCCACGGTTGTTTTTTACTGTGAACTGCTTCCCCTCCCGTCTCCTGGTTTTTTTTTTTTTTTCTCTTCCAGATGTTTGTAATGAAACTCTCAGAAGAGAGTCGCCTTCTCTTCTCCTTCCTTGGTTTTTTGTTCGGCCTGTATTTTGTTTGGGTTTCTCCTTAGCAAGGAGGGCTTTCAGTTTCAGCGTCCCTGGGTTTTGTTTGCCTAGACATCAACGTCCGTTATGGAGTCGGATGTTTTGGCTAACGAGAGCTTTTGTCTTCCATAAGGTTGGCAGAGATGGCTTTTTGTGGATCAGATGCACTGTTAAAATTTAGTATCCACCCTGGTATATTAAAAGAAACGCAGCTTTTGGCCAAAATCGATCTTTTAGGTTTTGCATAGCTCTTTTTATTTTCCATGCCATGTTCTTTTTCTGCTTTAATGCTATCCGGTATTTCTGAAATTGTAAAGATAGCTCCTGATTAGAAGGATTCTCCTTATGGCTCCAGAATCTTTACAAGAAAACATTTTTAACGATTTCTGTTTTTCTGTATATTGCATTTACTGTATCCTCCATAGCACTTTCACTGCATGGCTCCCCTGTCTTTAGGCCGAGAGAGTTTCTCTTTCCTAAGTGGTCTGAAACTGTCAAACTTCTTCTTAGTTACTTGTCTAGTTTGTGGGTGGCACTGGCAGAGCAGATCATTTTGCTATTCTGCTCCAAAAATATATTATTGTTCTTGATAATTCAATATATGATTGTGTATGTGAAGGAGCATTTTAATTAAAAATGTATATGGATATCTGTATATGTTAAGAATTATTGGAGTTGGAAGAGTCTGGAAATGGAATTGAAAAACCCTTTAGGATTTGGGTTATGGGCAGCTATAGTGTGGAGCATACCTATGATACCAGATCAAAGATTGCCATGGTGACCTGTAGGATCATCTCCTAACGTTGTATATGAACTGCTGCTAAATGTCTGTTAGAGTTCACGCATTGTACAAATGACAGGTGTACTAATTGTATCACTGTATTGATGCTGAATGTACAATCTCTGCTCAAGTCCTGCATAGCCAGTTTCAGGGAAGGGGAGTTCTGAAAAATAGGATATCGAGCTCAAACGAACTCTGTATGTAAACTGTACGGATGCCTGGCGTACCCCGCGTTCCCCGCAAAACCCCAAGGTAAACAACAGCTCCGTAAATGTCTGGAAATGTCTCTGATTCACGATGTTATCGTTAGCGGGAATTCGAAGGAGGCCATGGGCCCGTCCACGGACCACACAGGACGATTTTAGCTCCCTGCAGGTCTCTTGGACTGTTTTACCCAGGTCCTTGCGTTGCTTCGAAGGCGGTAACGTACCCGTGAAACCTTAACGTCTACGAGAGCAGCCCAACTTTTGTCCTCTCACATTCCCCCTCGTTCCCAAGGGGTCTCTTCCAGTAATAACACGTGTGCTCTTGGAATTTGGGAGAGGCACCTCCAACACTCATCCACATTGTAGCTTTCCTGAGGGAGGACGGACTACTAACGTGCCCATGTTCTAGTGGGGTCTAGGTGTCTTCCTCCAGCGGATACACCCAATCTCTCAGGTTAACTATTGCTTCCTGCAAGTTGCCAGACTCCATCCTCTAACGGCCAGTCCAGCCTGTGCAAAGACAGTCAAGTTGACCATTTTAAATCCCTCGCGCTCCCACCGTTTTCTTCTCTCTAATGAAAATGTTTCATTAGAAATGAATATGACACTTTGTCCTGTGTGTGCCCCCGGTGTTTGTTTTTTACTGTCAGATGCATTGGAAACGAGTTGCTTGTAAATTTTCTCTGATGAAAACGTGGTCCCAGTGCAGTCATGATTTCAGGGTTATTAAAATGTTATCAAACACAATAAGCTGGAAGATTGCTTTGCTTTCAATAAATATTATTAGTAGTAAAGGTGGCTTGCCTTGAACTAGCTGTGAGGCTGCTGACTCTTGATGAGAAATCTCCCCCCCCCACCTGCTAGCTGCCTACAGTCTGTCCTGAGTTCATTAAATAGTTTATTGTTTTAAATGTTCCGTTTTGTTCAGGGGAGTGGACTTGATAATATTCAAAACTCTGGCAGATTCCTCTACAATTTCTCTGTAGTTTTATCTCCTGGATCCTTTGCCCACTTAATTTATCTTAATCTTGACTCCATTTATACTGAAAAAATGTATTCAAGCAGACTAAAGACCTGTTGACGGACGGTGTTGGAAAGGAGCAAATTCTCTTTCCGTGTCTACAGTACGTCTCCTTGTTTTGGCATTCACGGTTTACAATTATGTGTTACTGGCCCTACCCCACAGCAGCAGGAAAAATCAGATTTTTCATTTTTTTATCTGATTTCCAGTGGGAC